TGGCTTCCTTCAGTTTATCTCCTATCCTATGAGCTAATTAATCATGGGAGAGCTCAGTCTATTGCAACAATGCAAACTACTTTCCAGCAAGGCCATTTTTCCACTCATGGTTGCTTTAGAAACAGCAATTTATTAATAAACCACCAGTATGCTTTACACTAAATTAAGACACTACAGATAATGTATTATGCATTTTTAAGAGCTAGGGGAAGAAGCTAACCTGGAAAATATTTTGCAAGAAGCCAATGATTTTTGTGAGATGCTGCACTGAGCTAAATTTTCTAAGCATCTCTTGGGAAATTTCAACATCAATGACATGAATGATACTGAAAATAGACAGAACAATCCCACAGCTGCCTCCCAAGGGAAGACACAACCATAGCCTTATAGGGATTTGTGTATTTTAATTGTTTTTTTTAATGCTGAAGGGCAGAATGTTATTTGTCAAAATCTGCCTGCAGCATTCAAGGAAATTCAACTGTACTTATAAAGAGGCTGCTATGCTACAGTAAATTCATGCTAGTCTTTATGACTATGCACTTGTATACTAACAGAACTTCATGTGGTTTGGGCTTAATCAAAATGGCTAAGTCTACACCACTGGCTTTGAGTATCAGTACTTGGGAATCCAAGAGGGGGCAAGGAGGTAATAGTTTGGTACTATGTGCTTCCTTTAGGCACTGGATTTAGCTGGATTCAAAACAGTACTAGGTTCTTATGGATTCTCTTTTACTTTTGCTTTTCATACCTATAAGAAAATTAACGTTGGCTTCTCTTGTCGTATGACTAGATAGGTAGAAATATTGGCAGATATAAAGGACTGAGAATTCAAAGTATGTATGCAGCAGTAAGTGGATTCATGGAACAGCATGAAACGGAAGATCCCAGACTTTTTTCCATTTAACCATTTTTGTTCTCCTGGAAGAGAGAAATGTGCTAGATGCTGATATCTACATAATTGAACAAGTGACAATGGCAATTCTAATAATCAAGAGAATGGATCCCTCTGGAAATTCCTGCAGAAACAACTATTTTTCAGTACCATCTATATTTCATCTTTACTTTAGAGATTTTTTTTTTGCCTACTTTTCAAAATAGTGTCAGTAAAATATTTCTAAATACATGTGCAAAATTAAAATCTAACAAGACCGTGAACAAAATTAACAAGTTCCAACAGTGCTTTGAAAAATGCTAAGAGATTTGCCTCTACAAATCAAGGATGAATAAAAATTAAGGAGAAACAAAATGTTATGCAGAACTATGCAAACAAAAAGTTATTAATTAATCTGGAAAAATACTACAATACTTGGAAAGTTTGGAGCATCACATAACTGCTTTCGGCCACTAAAAGAAGAAAGCAAAACACCATTCTTAGGATGTAATAACAGAGGTACTCCTAAAATGTAATTACACAGTGTGATTAATTTAGAATTAACCCAACAGCCTAAATTTGCATCTAATGTGAGGCTATGAAATCTAGGATGCATAAAATTAATATACTTACTAGATGACAATAACAAGACTAAAATTTTCTCTCCTGCCATCAATTGACCATCCAGGTTTTTGCAGCTCAGTCTGGTGGCTCTATGTAAAGTCACAAAACTTGTAAGCATTTTAAATTTAGTATGTTGTGCAAATGCAAGATGTTAGAGTAATAATTGACTTGGTTGAATAAGTTGAATGAATGCAATTTTAAAATCGTTTCTAGAAAAACTGCCACACCTATTTTCACAAAGAAGTGATTCACATATTAAATGTTAAATTCTCTGCACATTCTCAGATATATCAATGCACACTTGAAAACAAAGACCATGAAACTCAGGCAAATAGTTATTAGCAAAGCAAATACTTTTATCATGTCTCTTCAGTGAGCCGTAATGAACAAAGCTCCTTTCAAAACATTACTGAGCAGCATACCTAGATGATTATTGTATAAATGGGTAAAGAAGAGAGAACACGAGAGGGGAAAATAAAATTACACGTAAAATATATTAATGACTCAAATTCTTTCTTCTGCACACCTAGTAAAAGTGTAATTGTCTTAATTATTTTTGTATCAAGCCACCCTAGTCAAATATTGCTTAACAGATGTCCAGTTCCACTGTTATAACTGGCTTCAAGTAGTCCTCGTTTAGTGCCTGCCTCCTACACAATCCTTTGCTGTTATGACAAAAAGTAACTTTGCAACCAATGCCCGCATTTATGATTTCTGCAGATTCATAAAGTGAAGGAAAACTGAAGTAAGATTGTGAGCACAGTCACAGTTTTACTTAGCAACCACTTCACTTAACGACTGAGTTGCTGATTCCAACTGTGGTCACTGAACTAGGACTATCTGTATAGGCAAGTTTTGATGTTGTTTTCCCCTAAATAAATGAATTACATATGACTACAATCCTATGTGTGTCAAGAAACGATAATAAATAAATAAACAAAAACCCCTATCATTCCTACTACATTTTAATCCTCAGTGGAGGTGGAATAGGAGTTACCTTCTATTTTGAAAATACCAGGTCCTACTCAAGCCCCTTGAGCTCCTGTTTATTTGCTTGAAACACGAACAGAAGTACACTCTAGGATATTCACAGGATTACACCTATAGAAACAACTGCTTTAATAACTTCTAACAAAAATGTTGCCTCTAATCCGTTCAATAGTATATTTCTTCCAAGATCAAGGCATGAAACCTGCTTTGCCAGCAATTCAATTTTGTCCCCCGAATACACATATTATTAACACCCTCTTAAATGTTCAAATCATGTTTTAGGTTGCAAACTCGTTTGGTTGGGAACATATTCAGAATGTTGCTAGCCCTATAGCTACAATTCAGAGAACATTAGTATGTTAGCAGCACGGCTTAATCCCCAGCCCAAACAGCAATCACTGCCAGAGCTGAAACAAAACACACTCTGTCAGGCAGGGCGAGAAGCATCCAAAGCAACAGCAGAGACAGGTTGATATTTTTTTAAAAAAATCCTCTTTGAAAGCAAATCTATCCTTCTTTCTTTGTATGGAGAGAAAAGTTGTGTTGCAAAAAAGCAAAGTTCTAGAAAATATTAATCAGCAGCTTTTCCCATCACCCATATGGTCAGTTGTGATTCTTGCGCTATGATGAATCCATGTAGCAAAGTTAATTCTGCAGTTATCGTTAGCCTACCAGCTCTATTCACTCTGAAATAATTACAGTTTAATCACTGGTTCTGTTGTGTTTTGTAGTATACAAAAGTCATCATTCTATTCCCATTTACTCTTATAACAACACTATTTTCTTCATTGTAATAAATAAAGCGTATGGGATTAGGAAAAATAATGGTCATTTTATTTTTATTTTTCTATTTATTTATAATCCACCTTTATTATTTTTACAAATAACTCAAGGTGGCATACATATTAACATATCTTCTTTCAATTTTCTCCACAACAACAACCTTGTGAGGTAGGTTGGGCTGAGACTGATTGGCCCAAGTTTACCCAGATGGCTTTCATGGCTAAGGCGGGACTTCAACTCATGGTGTCCCACTTTCAAATGGAACCTATGCACAAATAAGTACACAAAATATTAAATTATACTTTATATGCATTTATATAGGGAATTTTTAACCCACCTAGGAATATCTCCATATTGCAGGTTATCATTTCTATTAGTCTCATATTTCAGATGTAACACTGAACATTAATTGTTTTAATGCCATCTCTTAGGGAGTACTTTGGTTTGATTTAAGAACTTGCAGTCTAACTTCTAGCTCAGCCACTATCAGATTCATTAACATAATGAGTATGCTATGCCTATTTCAAAATTCAATATCCCAAATCTATTCTATAAAATCTGGAAAATTTATATTCCACAGTATGACATTTTTTTTCAAAATCAGGCTGTTCTATAGTAACCCAAGATAATTTTGTCACAATTTTAGGGGAGGCAAACATTAATACTTATAAAGTAATGATGATATAGACTGACTTTAAAATGTTCTTATTCCTTCTTCCTTTTACTTTCTCTATTTTTCATCCGGTGAGCCCTGAAACTCAATTTCAGTTACTTCCAATTAAGAATAGTTTTTAACTGTGTTGAATTGTGTTCATATAAATAATCTAGAATATTCCTGCCTTTGAGGCATGATATAATTGAAAATGCTCAAGACGTGAATCAGTGGGTTATATCAGTCAGCTATTTGCTAGATTCTTCAAACAGATATAACCTGATCCCCTTGCACATTGTGGTAGTAAAAATGCAAAACATATTTTGCACATTTCACCCTTAGCTAGAAAAGAAGCTCGGCTGATTTTTTTAAAAAACTTTGTCCCGAAAGTATGACTTAATCTAGTTTATAATGCCTTGTTTTTCTTCATACAGACTATACAAGAGAAAAGGAAAAATGACTTGGAACTATACATTTTTGTTTGCCTGATATTAACAAACTTAAAGCAGGTCAGAAAATAAGAGATAGAAGTGTTGGGGGTGTGTGTGTACTACAATACAGAACAAAGCTGCTTTTCACCAAAGTGGCAAAGAATTCTAGGACATGAAGACAGGGACAAAATAATATTACATCAGGAAGCATAACTTTATACTTGTTACCATCCTCAAAAATTACAGTTTATAAGAGTATTCTCTGCAACACAACTTCTCTGCAAAGTGGCAATGAAGGCATAGAGATTTCTTTCCTAAATAAAAAGTTAATATGAATATTTGAAAAACTTGAAAAAAGATTTTCAATTCTGTAACTTTTAATGAGACAGGTTGGTTCCCTTATAAAAAAAAAACTAAATATCTCCCTCTCTGATTTTGACCAAATTCCTCCCTGGTTTAAATGGGCATGCAGGGCAATTTTGGAATCTTAGCAAAATCTTGAGCAATATAGCATTCAGTCGCGTTTCCCTCCAAGATTTCAGAAATGGGATAACTTTTGAAGGTGCAAGAAAAGAAAGAGGCAATGTTTTGGCACCTTTAAAGGCCAACTATAAAAAAAGTAAAGAAATTAGTTTAAATGACATCTTACCTGGTAGATCATGACTTTAAAGTTCCTACGCTTCAGCAATTCCGTCTCATTGGATTCTAACTTCTTGATTTGTCCAGCTTGTTTCTCCAGATTTTGTCGGACAGTTTTCACATTAACACTGACCTTACGGACTTTCTCCAACATCTTGTTGACTGTATTGCTGGTGGTGGTGTGGGCTTTGGTGAGCTTAGCCAGTTCTCCCTGGATGCTGGCCACTACACCATCCATTTCTTGCTGTCTCTCTTCCAATTGAGTCTGGGTCAGCTGAATCTGATCCACAGCCCCAATAATCTTGTCCAAAAGGGTAAGCACCATAACACCATTGATCTGGTCAGATTTAATGAGTTCTTCAGCAGCTGGTTCCTCCGAAGCTTCAGATGCAGTTGGCTGCTCAACGATATGGAGGGTGGTGTCTGCCATGGTCACTTAAAAGTTCTGACTAGGAAAAGCTGGAGAGGCTTGACACTGTAGTGACAAGACAGAGAAGTGAAGGCTGAAACTGAGATCTTTCAGTTACGGGAGGCCAGACAGAAGCCAAGAGCTGAGCGTGTGGATTTATGCTTCAATTGAAATGGTACAATCCTTGCAAAGCTGTCAGGGGAAACTGCCCTGCAAAATTTTCCAGGCTCTGAGGCCATTGGTTGACTCCACCTCAACTGAAGGAAAGGACGCTCTTGCCAAATGCCTTGTCGACCCACCCCTTTTTTTCTACAATGATTAAAATAGTTGGAGAGGAGGCAACAGCTTTAGCATGTGAGCACAGGCAGAGTTCGAGCATTCGCTCACTCCCTCACAGAGGAATGCAAAAATCTAAACTCCAAAAGCCTCTGCTGCTTACTAGGTGGCGGGAGGGCAGGGATTTTTTAGCAAGATCTCTCTGGAATCTAGAGGGAGGAGGGGAACAAATATTCTGTACAAAACTGATAATGGAAAAACCACCTACTCTCTGAATATCAGCGAATATGTAACTGGCTCGATGGGAAACAGCTGCACGGAAGAGTACAGCAGGGATAACCCAGAAACTTCTGTGTTGAGCGAGGCCAGCTTAAAGTTTCATATTTCCTTTTAAAGACACTCAGTGAGAGTTTAGGACACACACACACAGCTTGGATCACTCAGTATACACAACTGGTAGTACAAATGAATTCAGCTATGCTACAGATATCTATCTGGTCAAAATAGCATGCAATGTACTTCAGAAATGGCTATCTGGATTAAAAAAAATCAGCACTTTGGTGCAAACACTTGTTATTGTACGGCAAGGCTTGTTTTTTTACTGTACAGTACTGATTAACTGTTGCCTGCAACAGTAGTTGACATTTTATGGAGGTGAGGCAATTCTGAACTGGTAACTTGCCATAAACAAATCTGAGGATTTATTCTGCATGCTTTCCAATGTGGTCGAATATTATGGGTCTCACTGAGAAAGAAACGTCTCTTTAATTCAAATGAAAGCTGTATGAATGGAGATGAATTCCATAAGGATCATGAATGTATAAACGTCTCAGCATACAAAGAAAAGTTCTTGATTTAGGTGGACTATTTTCATTATTTAGAACCAGAGGTGGGGAAGATGGCCTCTTTATGACTTGTAGACTTCAACTCCTAAAATTCTGGGAGTTGAAGTCCACAAGTCATAAAAAGGCCATTGTTTTCCTATCCCCGATTTAGATTATTGAGAGTAAGAATGTACTCCAAAAGATTTTAGGAAGCATAATTCCATGAATTCTATAATTCTGTGCTCTTGAAAAAAAACTACAATAAATCCTTCTAGTTTCAATTTAAAAATGACAGACACTGATGATCTCAGCATTTGTCTAAAAGTACCCAAGATAAAAGGAAAAGTGGATAGGAAAAATAAAACAGCAAACATTTGTTTGGTTGGAATTCATGATTTAAAACTAGCCTTTGAAGAGAGAGCTAATCTTCTCCCTAACTGTTGTAAAGCAGCTACAAGTCACTGGCTTTACAAAAAAAAAATTCTTCTAACTAGAATTTGTTGCTTCTTATTCCTGTTAGCATAGGCAATACTAACAAGAAAATTCTGTGGCTCTAAATACAATTGATATTGACGAACTCTATATAGCCACCCAAAATCACCTTGTAGAGGAGATGGGCAGTATAAAAATTAATTAATTAAAAGATGGCTTCAGCACAGTTGGAAAAACCAGCATGAAGTAGACCCAAAAGGCAACTGGACTTCCTTAGCTTTATCCTTGAAAACGTTTTGCTTCTCATTCAAGAAGTTGAAGTTTCCTTGAAGGAAAAAAACAAGGAAATCCAGTTGCCTTTTGGAAAAGCACTTTAGGGACCATTAGGGCCTAGATGATTGAGAATCTCCATAGAGATTAACTTTGAGTAGAACTAATATACCTAGTCTGAATGCATTCAAGGAATTGTTAATGTTAAGGAATTGTTAATGACATTCCTTTTGAACAATGTAAACGGCCTTATATGAATTGTTGGTCCATTTGACAATATTAACTAATTCTGGTGCTTTTTTTATCACATCTGAAAGAATAGATATTTGACAGAGGTATTAAGGTAGAGCACATCATTTTTATTGCTCAGATCAGACCTCCATACCCAATGTCTTGCAGAGGTGCAACCCTTCAGTTTTTATAAATCCCAGCCAGGATGTGGAAGTTATTTTAATTTACTTTGGCTTGTAAAAATAAAGTCTGGTTTACTAGCCTGATATTTGGGAGATAAATATATATACGTAACTACATAAAACACATGATTCAGTTTTCAAAACGACATCAGACATCTTCATTATTTATTCATGCGTCAGGCTCAAGTGACAAGCCAGTCAATCAATTACTGTTGCAACCAGTGGATCAACACTTCGTTAATATGAAAAAAAGGTAGATCCTATACTTGTGAGAGAATACGAAGAAAAAAATCCTACATATATACACATCAAGAAATTGCAAGGTAACTGACATCATGCAGAACAAATAAAAAGATATTAAAAATAATATCTTAAAGAAATTAATATCCTAAAAGAAAGGAAACATCTAAAATTAGCTCATATCAACACTATATTTCTCTCTTATCTTTCTATCTTCACAATCCATCTCTCTTTCATAGATCCTTCTGGTATTTGAACTACTGTACTTTTATCTTTTTCAGAATCTCATCAAGTTTATCCAACCAATGTTTTCTTGCTCATCCCCTTCCTCTTTGCTTGTCGCACACTCCTATAATTAATTCACATTCATTCAATCTCCACTGCATTTCTTCTTGCTATTAAATACCCATTTGCATAGCATTTAATTTATTTTTATGACATGGTGGTTAAGGCAGTAGACTAGAACCTAGGTTATTCTGAGTTCTAGTGCTGTAACATTGGGCGAGTCACTTTTTCTCTCAACCATAGGAAGGAACTGGCAAACTATTTTAAAAATGCTGCCAAAAAAACCTGCAATGGCACTTGTCAAGAGGGAAAATTGATTTGAAGTCACAATATATCCTATCTCTTATACATGTGATCTTTGATTTAAAACAATTCTTTTAATGACTGTTTGAAGTTACAACCGCACTGAAAAAAGTGACTTATGATTATTTTTTACACTATTGCAGCATTTCATTGGTCATGTGATCAATAAACCAAATATATACATTTATCAGCACACAAGAACATATACATTTATATTCCCAACTGACACACCTCTCAAATCACCATAAGCATTCCTTATATATTGATCCATAAGTACAACAAACAACCAAGGTAACATCATCTTATTCTCAGCATCACTCCTCAGCATTCCATTTATTATTACGTTACCCATCATATACTCTTATAGTTGCATTCAGCAAGTAGTCAAGCTATATTTATACAGAACATTCTCATTATCATACATTCTCTCTAAAATAATAAATGCATAAAACAATTCATGTTATTCTTTACTCATCTTCAGCTTAGCATTCAGTAATATCATTCAAAATCCTTCTCTTTAAACTGTTGGAACTAGCTGTGCCTGAACACACTTATAGATGGATTATAAACTGTCTAACATAGGAAGCAGAAGGTGAAGCTAGGTAAAATCACATCAATACTTGCTCAATTAGTACAGGAGCCCCCAAGACTGTGTGCTCTCTCCATTACTCTTTTCTCTCTATACCAATGATTGCATCTCCAAGGATTCCTCTGTTAAAGTATTGAAGTTTGCAGGTAAAACAACAATCATTGGTCTGATTTGAGATGATGATGAGTCTGCATACAGAGGGGAGGTTGAACCAATGGCCCTGTGGTGCAGCCAAAACAATCTGGAGCTGAACACAATACTGTAGAGATGATAGTAGATTTTAGGAGAAGCTCTACTATTTTACCATAGGATATTAGACAACACAGTATCAACAGTAGAGACTTTCAAGTTTCTGGTTCTATAATCTGACAAGACTTGAAATGGACACCTAACATTAGGACGATCATTAAAAAGGCACAAGAAGAATGTTTTTCCTGTGTCAACTCAAAAAACTCAGATTGCCCAAGGATCTGCTGATACAGTTCTACAGAGAAATTATTGAGTCTGTCATTTGCACTTCTATAACTGTTTGGTTTGACACAACAACCAAACAGGACAGGTACAGACTTCAACTGCACCTAGCCTGTCTTCCACTGAGGATCTGTACACTACACGAGCCAGAAAGAGGGCTGAAAAAGTATCTACAGATCTCTTACATCCTGGACATAAACTTTTAAACTTCTCCCCTCAGGACACTGCTATAGAACATTACATACCAAAACAACTAGACACAGTGGTAACTTTTTCCCCATGCCATCACTCTGCTAAACATCTAACTCTCACAGCATTCTTTATGCCTAAAGAATACCCATGTAGTACGGCTGTATTGCTATTATCCTTCCCATCTTCCCATCTTTCCTACTAACTTATCTTATTTGTATTTTATGATTTATTGTTGTGTCTTGTGATTTTTGATCCATCACATCCCTTTGATGTTTGTATATATACTGAGTTTATGCACCAGAGACAAATTCCTTGTATATTCAATCACACTTGGCCAATAAAGCATATTCCAATATTCCAATTCCAATATTTATTCTTATTAAGGGATGCAGTTATAAGATACAGTAAAATGCATTTCTGGATTTAAGGAATCTGACTTACAGGCTTGCAAATGTATCACTGTTGCAACATTTAGTAAATTAGTTATGTACTGGATTAATAACTTCAACCCCTCAATGGCTAGGCGAATTATACATCGTTTCATGAAGACAAATTATCTATTTTTTTATATGGCTGCCCAATACAGATATCATGACTTTGGGTGGCATACCAAATTATTAAAAAAAAATTCAAAAGAAAAGTAACATATATCACTAAAACAGAATATATTAGAAACCTTACAAAAGACAAGAGTTTTGCTAATCACAATCCCTCCCCCCCAAACCCCCACGTGTTCCAAAGAAATTGTAGTGTGAATATTAAATACTGGGTAACAGTATTCTATTGCTCTTGCGTATCCTATTTTCTAAACGGCTCTGAAATATTTTTGTACATCAAGCAATATCAAAAAATATTAAATAGGAATAAATAATAAATCGATCTTCTTCAACTGGCGCTCTGTAGATACTTAGAACTAGAATTGCAAGAGTTGGAGTTCAAGAGATCTCCAGTGCATTACATTGAAAAAATGCCCGATCAGAATCGTCCCCTTCGTTGCCCCTGATCCTGCGAGAAAGGGCGGATTGGGGATGAACCCCGTTTTCCGGATTAAATCCTCTGTCCATCCCACTCGAAAGGAAAAGACTCCCGACGAATAACATAACTCTCCGTGCAGATGGGCCACTGAAGAAGCCAGCCGTCAGTATCTCCCCACACAAGCAACACCAATGACGCCCCGCCCACCAGCAGCAGAACAGATCCAAGAGCAGAAGGCCGGACCAGGCTGTTCTGCAGGAGGGAGTTACGTCTTTACGTGGTGACGTCATTGACGGAAGCTCAGGCGGCAGCTGTGGATTGAGGCTGCGGGTCACCCTTGGGGAGGTAAATAGGTGCGGAGGGGGATGCTTCGGTAGGAGGTTGTCTTTCTGGGGTGGGACTGAGCAGGAATGGCAGGATGCCCTTTGTTCTGGGGGTGGGGGCAGCAGTAGGCAATTGTGGGGTGAGCGATCTGACCTCTGTGTTCGCGGGATTCAGTGGTTGTATGAAGGGGCTTTTGATGCTGGCATTCTTCCAGTTTAATGCTTAAGTCGCTTGCTCTCTTAATCCGTGTTGTTTCGTTAAAAAGGAGAGAAAAAGAGAGGATTTTATCGGTGTGAGGTTGGGGAAGCTGGACATTGACGGGGTCATCTCTGGAGGGGGGAGCAAGGTTTTTTGCTTGAGATCATACCTGGGTCATCATTGAAAGGAGGGGACGCTTCGTCAGCATTTTTGAGTGGGCAGGCATGTTGAGGGAAAGATTATTTTATATTGCTCTATAATAGTATGTGGGCCTTATGATCAAGGGATATTGGGGACTGGATGATCATGGAAGGCGGTTGGTTGGTGAAGGAGGAATATTTGATCGTTTTCCTTCCACTTCTTTACCATAACTGTGAATAATATATGCTAGGAGTGGGTGGGCAGTAGATCCTGTGATGTGCAGGAGGTACTGGCAGCTTTCTGACGTTCATTTGGTGATTTGATGGGGCAGGATATGAAATGCAAATAAATTGAAAAGAATACTGATTTGATTGGAAGGAATGACTGCTTCTCAAAAATTATTGTGTCATTCTGGCTCCCCCTACCCCATGATTACTAAAAGTAGAAATGTTAATTATCTGTGGAATTTGGAAAAGGTTTGGTTAAGCAGCAGAGGATAATATATGAATAAAAATATCATTGATTCATTGGAGACATGTTACCAGATCTAGGTTGCACAAATCTGGATGGCCATTAGACAGCAGCAAAGAATCTGTTTCTTTTTCTGCCATCTATTGATAATGTGGAATTTTGTAACCTAAATCTGGTATTTGTAGCTTTAGGATCTTTGATTATTTACTATTCTGATTTTTAGACTAACTGCTAGATTTTTCTAGTTTTGTTAATATGTTACATTCACTAAACATTTTTCAGTCATGATGATAATAATTCCCTTTTTAAATCTTCTCTTTTAGATTGGATAATGGCTTTCGTTGTGTTTTGGTACAAGGCTTCTTATTCTGTTTGTCAGCCTGCAATATAATGAGCAAGAGGCTGGAAATGTAGTTTTGTACCTTGTGGTTTCCAGTTAACTTTGAGTGGTAGCTTGCATGTATCATTTTAATGCAAAATATACTATCACACATACATTAAAACTTATTGTGCATCCTATTGTCTAAAAAGAGGAAGTACACATCTTTTGAAAGCTGTTCAGGTTCTACAGGTTCTGAGGTGGATAACATAATTCTGCTTATTGGCATGCTTAATTCACTAATAGGAAGCATAGTAAGGCATTCTACAAAGTGTTTTGTGTTAGTAATTAATAAGTGATGTTTTATAAATAGAAAACTGTGCATTTTGGTTGATGGGAATTCAAATATTTCATGGATTTGCTTAGACTTATCTCTGTTAGCTTATCATTTTTATCTCTATAAGCATATAATTAGTGCCTCTGCATTTTATGACCTTTATTGGAGATATCAAAATACCAAGTATTATTTGCTTCCATAGATCCCTGGTCTATGATCTCTGAATATAGTGTGTTCTTTACTGAAAATTGAATTTGGATCCCTAGGCTACTGATGAATCTGCTGCAGTATGATGGGGCGGAAAAAAATAGCTCCTTCACTGAAATAGCTATCAACTATAAAGCATCAGTAGCGTTTCTAAAACAGAAGATATTGTTTGATGTTATGGAATGGACTGATGTTTGAAGCTTAGGCTCAAGCATGAATGATTGATCTCAAAAACAATTATCTACAGATGAACTGTTTACACTGGGATTATTTGAATGGCATATAAGATACATTAACAGTACATAGAAGTCACTGGTAATGGTAATGTTATACTGCAGCTTCTAAGAATTGAAATAATTACAGATATATGGATATCTACACATTCAAAATGTGGAATAGCACATTAAGATCAGATATGGCAGTCTTTTGGAAGTTGTTGGTCAGACTTGATATTGAGGGTAAACCGGGCATGCCAGAAAATGAATCTGTTAATGGACATGGCCACATACAAAACAGTCATTTAATAGCTAGTAAACTAATGATATAGAAGTTGCTCACTGCTATCCCTCTAGCCTTCCAATTCTCTGTTCCCCAATTAACATAAAGCCTACTCAGCATTTTTATTTCCTAAGAATGCCATGATAATTTGTCACTATTAATGTCATAACATAAGTTAAACATTTTAACCCCTGCTTCAAGAATAATTTGTAAAATTTCAGCTCTAAAATTAATTCGGGTGTAAAGACCCCAGGAAGGATTTATGTAAACTTATCTTAATGCTTTTTTTTTTCCCTGAAGGTATATGAAGATTCTCATCCTAATTTGATTGGCTTCTTTTTTCACCATGGGTGAGCTCTTCCGAAGTGAGGAAATGACCCTTGCACAACTTTTTCTTCAGTCCGAAGCAGCATACTGCTGTGTCAGTGAATTGGGAGAACTTGGGAAGGTCCAGTTTCGAGATGTACGTATTTGCTTTGGTTCATTAGTATAGTTATTATGCTCCCAAAGTATTATTTTTGTGCTCAGAATTTTTATTTCTTTCGAAAGCATTAATGATAGGTCTTTCAATTAAGTATGAGATGATTCAGGCCTATGATTTATAGCAGCTATACTTGATAAGACTCACTTTTTAAAGTTAATCTTACTGAAGATTATAATTATGGTAGTAAAAACTAATAAAAACAAAAATAATAGCAAAAAAGGGAAAAAGACATAAAGAATAGAAATAACAGAAAAGAAAGAAAAAATAAAAATGTAGTAAAGAAAAAGAAATATAAAGAAGTGACCCCTTCTTCATCACCATAGGTATCAATAAATTTAATAATTTATCATCTTTTCTTAAAATACAACATGATATCCCATCCACACAAATCCATAAAACTTTGCCATTTCAGTCCTGATATTAGCAAAAGTCCATTAAAGATTATCAAACGAGATAACATCTCCCTTTTAACCTTGATCAAATGTACCAAATTTATATTCTTTTTACTTTTGATTCAACCCTAGCAAGACAGAATGGCTCAGCCATGTAGACATGCTCCGAATCCCTTCCCTTAAATGTTGCCATGAAATGGGATCCAGGTAGGATGTCTTTTCCATAGCAGTCTCTGCTGTGTGAAACACGTTTCCCCTTGAAGTTTGGCAGTCTTCCATCCTCCTAGCCTTCTGAAAAGAATTTTAGACTTGCTTTTTCTTCAAGTGCTGCAATAGAGTGAGGTGGATGAGAGGAATTAACAAAGTAGTACATGTGGATGCTCAATTTTGGTGCCAGGTTTTTAATGTGTTTGGCTATATATATATATATATATACATACATACTGATATTGTTTTAATTGTTAATTGAGAGCTTCCCAGAATTTGATATAAGATGGACAACTGTATAAATGTTTTATAGAAATAAATAAATCAATATACAATTTTTAAAATAAAAATCTCAATGAACTTTTTGGTGTTTTATCTCAATTTTAAAAAAAGATACGTTCATGATTAAATTTTTATTTCATTAAGGATTGAAAGAAGACTCATCACATATTTTTAGATTTGTTCTTCTAGAAAATTCTAATAGCAGAAAAGTAGTTAATAAGCAATTTCCAGATAAAACAAGTAGAAAAGGAAGTATGCAAATTTGGTGTTCTTTTAAAAGTGCCAACTGCTTTTAAAAGTTATACTGTTTGAGCAAGATAACTATTTTCTTGTCTCTCAGTTTTCAAAAACTGCCAGAATCCACTCTCTTGTTTCTTCCTGAGGAGCAACCATATGAACACTTGTAAGCAATCTGCTGTCCTTTCTTTCTCCAGAGAAGTTTGAAGAGCCACTCTATCACTGGCTTCTTCATTGCAGTCATTGGTTCTGCTTTTTATGGAACAGTCTGCTATTTCATCCCCTAAAAGTTCAAGGATGAAATTATTGAACTAGCTTCTGAAGTGAAGTTGGAGACAGAAAATGACAGTCTATCCATGCTTCTGCATATACTAGTATATAACATTATAATTAAATGTATTTATTGACAGCTAAACCCTGATGTGAATGTGTTCCAACGTAAATTTGTTAACGAAGTCCGAAGATGTGAAGAGATGGACAGGAAGCTCAGTATGTCATTGTTTTCTTTTACTTGCACTCTTGGTATAGGTTTATAGGATTAAATTAGGTTGTGTATATATTTGTATATACGCTAGATTCACACTTAATGTGATGACCCGCAGTGTACACCAACATAACAAAATCCAAAACGTAAATAAATGTCCTTTAATGCCTCCAACTTGGCCCCACTGTTCAATAATTCTCAGTTGGAGATAAAACTTGTTCAAAAATAGTCTTCAAAAGAAAGCAATACAGTCCGAACTTAATGAGCATATAGAGCTGAAATAAAAAACCAAAATAAACTACGATGAAGGAAATTCCACAACGACCAAGATAAGTAATTACCAACTGCAAGGAGATAACAAAGCACAGTTTGTTGGAAGGACGCCAACCAAGATAACTTCAGCCCAAAATAAAACAAGCTTTGCTTCTGGCAACGCTGTGTTTTAACCATCTCTCTTATATACTATTCTCCCCAGCTGCAACCAATGAAAAGGATCATGGCCGCTTCCTCTCTCATAAGCCAAGTTGTTTCCTTCTCCATTCCTTCCTGCATGTCCTAGGATGAAGAGGGGATGGGCCTGGTCCTTCCTCTGACTTCCCAGCCAGCCTCTGCCCTTTCCCAGCCTCCTCCACAACCTCCGGAGCCACATCTCCACTCCCTGTCTGTTGTTCCTCCTCTCCCTCAGAGCCCAACTCTAACAAGGGCATGACACTTTGTGCCAGTTCTGATTTTTGAATACAGGTGGTTCTCACTTAACAACCACTCATACTGCAGCCATTCAAACTTACAGTTTGTACTGAATTAATGGCACTTATGATGCTTAAGTTAACTTAACTCATACTTAAATTGGCACAGCATCCTCAAGGTCATGTGATTGTGGTGTCCTGCTTACAATTATGTCATCACAGTGTCCTTAAGTTATGTGATGGCCATTTGTGACCTTCTTTTCTGGCTTCCTATAAGCAAAGTCAATGGGTAATATGACAAGAGGTCCCAAATGGTAACGATGTGACCTCCTTGCTTAACACTTGTGATTTACTTAATTATGGCGACCAGAAGTGCCAGAATTTATATTGCTAAGCGGTGCAGCTATATTTCATGACCAAATCACTTATTACAATTATTGACATTAAATGAGGATTACCTATGAATCAAAATTGACTGGATTCATAGATAATGCTAGCTTATAAACTATTTTTTATTAAGAAAAATGACTGAATTAGCATAACACACTAAGCCAAAAATAGATAAACCGTATTTTATTGTAGCCTGTGGTGTGTCTTAAATAAAATACCTCTATCACAATAGACTACTCTTTGTGGATAAATTGTTTATTCATTTTTTGGATGCAAAATAATGTAACATTGTGACCAACTATGTTACATTGATTAGCAACAATTTTGCCTGTTATCTCAAACATCTTTGCCAGCTGCTTTCTGGTTTACTGAATTTAATTTTTAAAAACAAAATAAAAAGTAGAATGAAGAAATTGTGGCTGTCCCTTTCCCTACTTTATATTTCTATATCTCTGTGATATCTCCTGTAGAGGCTGTAGAAAAAGGAATATAGGAGTCTCTTTGTGCTTGTTCAAGCCTTCCATATAATATGTTGACAGAATTAACCTCAAACTAACCCTTTGATTTAGGTCTAATAAGATGGGGAACAAAAGAAAAGACAGATAACCCTTTTACCAAATTTGATCACAAATATATATTAAAGCACAATTTTTCCATAATTCAGATTTGAATAAAAACAGAGCTGAGTAAATGCCTTGAAGGTCAGGTATGCAGCTACTAAAGGTTATTGGAAATTCTTATAAATTGTATTTTTAATGTGACAAGAATGTTTAGTAACTATATGACCAGAAAGTGTTGAGTAGCTGTATTTAGTTATAACTCAATTTAAACAAAGATAAAAACAGCCTCTTCTTTAGTACCCCCAGCTTTCTGGATTGTGATCTCTACACACTTGCAAAGTATGAAAATGAACCTTGCCTGGAAAAAGAAGTACATCCTGTACTATGAAAACTTGCTAGTTAAAATAGTGAATTTAATTATTTATTTTCTGACTTTTGTTCAGAAACTCAAGGTGACATACAAGTATAATTAAAGAGTTAATTTTGAGTTTTGTATATCTTTTATTTTTTAATGGAATGAGTTGTCTGGAGAATGGAGGAATAAACTGAAATTATGGATTTGGAGTTGAGAATCATTGATTAATTTGTTTTCTCATTCAGTACTGCATATTTTTAATCATATTGCCACTATGACTCTTTTTTAGGATTTGTGGAAAAAGAAATTAAGAAGGCCAACATTCCTATCACAGACACCGGAGAGAATCCAGAAGTGCCATTTCCTCGAGACATGATTGACTTGGAGGTAAATACACTATGTAAAGTGTTGTATGTTGACAATGCAAAACTACTTTGTAAAATGGGCTATAACAATGAATTATCATTACCGTGCCTCCCCATGGTATTAATATAAGCTTCTTCTAATTGAATACATTAGAAAAAAGTGCAAAATACAATATTTTCCTTAGCTTTGAACTGGTTTCTCAAGTGCAAATTCCTTGAATATTGATTTTAGTGAATAGCTATATAAATTTGAATACTGTACATTTAGCAATAAATGTTCTGCTTTTCATTACCAAATACATAAAGCCACAAATGTACTTTCAATAAGGGCTACAACATCATAAATAGCAAGGCTTTGATAATAAAACTAAACAGATTGTTATAGCACCAGAAACAAGTTGTATACTATGCTAATATACAATGAATGAAAAAAATAAACAGCTTTAATAATATGTTCCAGTGAAAATTGGCGCTTGAGTATAAAAACCTACCGTGTTTTCCCAAAAATAAGACCCTGTCTTTTTTTTTTTTTTTTTTGGCCACCAAAAAAGGCATCAGGTCTTATTTTGGGGGGATGCCATCCATTGACTAGCCTCACTTGTGTGCGTCGCCCCCAGCCTCCTTTTTGCTGTCAGAGGCCTTTAGGAACTTCTTCTGCAGCCGGCAAGACTTTCCTGAAGGCCTCTGCAGCCAATAAGAGAGCTCCAGATCGACCCGTAGCTTTGTTATCAGCTACAGAGACTTTCAAGAAAGCCTTGCCAGCCTTGCTGGCTGCAGAAGAAATGGGCCAGCAAGGCAGGTGTCAGGGTGTGCGAGGCCTGGTTGCAACTGTCCAAAGGTAAGCAGGAGGGCAGCTCCACCCCACTATCCCCATCCTAGCTTAATTTTTACCAGTGTACTCAAGTGGGTGGGATCTTAAGTAGGGCTTATTTTTGGGATAAGGCTTATATTGGGTCACGTAAAAATTAAGCTTGGACTTACTTTCAGGGTAGGTCATATTTTTGGGGAAACGGTATATCACATCATAGGGAAATGTGCATATCGACACAGATTCATTCTAGGACCAAAATCTATCCTTATTTCCTACTTTTTGTGACATACCTATATCAGGAACTGGAAAATATTTGAGAACATTCAAGAATGAAATTTCAGTAATTGATTGATATAATTTGTATATAAATAGATATAAAATCTACGGTTATTAAACTTATTGAACTTTATATTGAGGCTAGTGTCTGTCCTACTCTATATCATGTCTCTTTATTGAAGTTTACATTAGTATGCACACTGAAAAAATAAACATGTCTGAAGTATATTGATAATAGCTTTACTTTTTCTTGTTTCCTCCCCTACCACTTTCTAGGCAAACTTTGAGAAAATAGAGAATGAGCTCAAGGAGATCAACACCAATCAGGAAGCCCTGAAAAGGAATTTCCTAGAGCTAACAGAGTTGAAATTCATACTCAGAAAAACTCAACAATTTTTTGATGAGGTCAGAATATCGGAATGTTTTCAATTCTTATCATCTGGGCCAGCCCATCATAACCCACTGTTTTTCTTCTTACAAATGCCTGCTTAAGTTGCAATTTGGGTTGGCAGCTCTATTTGCTTCCGATGAGTTCTTGCAAATTGTTTTTCGTTCATAAACATTTGGGAATTGGTTATAGAAAAATCTATTTGTACCCCTAGTTTCTAGGACATCTTACAGGCACACAAGGATTTGGAATATCTTTAAGCATGTTTTACAGTTGGGTAGAAAAGAGAGCTTACAGAAGTACAAAGACATAAAGTGCTATATTTTTAGAGTGTTAAAGCAGAAGTGATTGAATATCCTTATATGTCTAAACCAGGGAAGGACAATCACCGTCTACACTTTTCTCCTACATTTCTTATGCTTCTTGACTATTGACCTTACTGTCTCAAGCATATAAAAATTATAATCCAAGAACTGTGAAGAACAACACATTACTTATTATTTCTGTAAGCATAATTTTAATGGCCTGAGATCCTAAACTCACTTATCTGGAACATTTTTCTTCCAAATCTATAGATTAAGGAATTGATTGAGATTTTCGTAGTCTTGTTTGGCTTTAACCAAAAAGAAAAGGGAGGAATTTAAGAAATCTGTATCTACAAATACATTCATTGCAAAAAACAATTTAAGTCAAAACTTTCCTTTTCAGAAATCCTGTTACTGGGCTATACCTGGTTTCAGATATCCATTCAAATTTAAGTTGTTTAATTTTAATTTTCAGTTTACAAACATTATATAAAAACTGATTTTTGTGTGCATTTCAGTGATTACTTGAATATGCTAAAGATATGAAATCTTGCAGTGCTCCAAACAAGAAGAAATTTGTTGCGTAAACAGAATTATATATATATACAGTATATGTAAGAAGTCTTTGTACTATGTCTGCTTTCACTTGCTTTGTGAATAATGTGGTGAATCTATACAAAAATATTTCTGGGTGCCTAACGTCAGATGTTGAATATCAGTTTGCAGGTTGTGGTTTTTGAATTATTGACACATGCTAGTAAATATTTCATTTTTATGACTGCCACCATGAAAGCTCAACTACTAGGTTTTTTTTTAAGTTTAGTTATAACAGTTACACAATGTCTCTTGAAAAGGTGTTTGGAAAAACATCCAACCTTGGTGCAACATATGCTTGTCCAATTTTTTTGGGGTCTTGTCAACATGCATGTATTTGATCCTTCCGAGTTGCTCAAGAGCTAATTTAAATGACCTTTTAATACAGGATATATTGGAAACATCAGCTGTGAATATTAACTTTAAGTCATATAATTATTTTTATATTAGTCTTCCATATAATTATAGTTCTAGTTCATTTTCAGTAGATTGTCCAATACCATCCTGAATATATTCTGAGTTGTTTTCTCTTGGGCGTGACTGGAAAAATGTTTTTTCCCCAAGGGCAGATGAAAATTAACTATGTAACCTAGATCCTTGCAGTTTGCCCACAATATTGGCTTGAATTTTATCAACATAAGATTCATAATATATCAGTGATTTGGAACAGTCTGTGCTGGGCATTCTTACATTAAGACAATTTCTTCTAAACCACATTGTCAATTTTTTATCTATATGATATCTTATTTTATGCAAGAATGACCCTAATTTAAACCCCAATACGTTTTAAAGTGATACAGTCCTGACACATTGATGTGTTTTTATTGCTATTTGTGAGAATTGGGCTTTTCAGCTTCATACTCTAAATAGTATATAGTGACAATAGTATCACTAAAGGGAAAAGATGCCTATATCTGGAACTATCTTAAACAGACTGATCATTATGGATTCCATATATTGTGTTATAACTTTACATTGAGATGTAGCCTTTATAGTTATGAGTTATTTCATGTTCATTCTTTGAAAAGCTTTACCTAACCAGTTAGCAGCACTCCAAATTTAGGGCGTGTTTTTAAGGTGGCATGATCTAGTTGTTCCATCTTCCTTTTTTTAACCACACTGATTGGTGCATTCAACATTTTGAAGACTTTATAAATCTTTTGGGAGAGACTTTTTAAATACTTGTTTAACGGCAAGAAACGGCTCACAAGGCTTGCAAACTTTGATTTAGTTGAGGTGGAGTTATAGGAAAATTTGGGCCTCACTGAATGAAAACATTTGCTTTGCCGGTGTAGCCATTTTTTGCATGTCAAAAAAGAACACAGTGATTTTGAATCGATTAACTGTTAGTCATTTTCTCATTCTTCATATCTTTATCTTGTAAAGAGCACATTGAGAACTGGAATAATATGTCGGAATGTATAAACCATAAGTGTTCAGAATAGACTGAAACAAGACTGGAAAAGTAATGGTTAATGGCATGCAGTTCCTATTTCTTTCCTCTGATTTCTTTCTTTTTTTTTTCATCATGTCACATCTTTAATTCTCATTTGCATCTGTCATTTCTTCCTTCTCTTGGTGATCTTTGCTGCAGGTGCTGGAAACCGTGAAATATGTCTCCTTGCTTTATGTTTTTCTGCAAGAAGGATCTTGACTTGCTTCTCCTATATAGTTGCTTATGAATAATGATCATAAATTGGGTTTACTTTCCAATGTTTTGAAAATTTAATGTTTCTTGCTTTAGCAGAGGAGATACATACCATAATTCTTACGGAAGGGCACTTGTGAATGCTACCTTCCTGCCTTTACAAATAAACTATTCCATTAATGGTAGGTAGTATTAAAGTAGCATCTCAGTTCTGATTTTAAAATGTCAGAATTGAACCTTCCTGCTATTTGTTAATTTTTCTTTGGAAAGGCTTCCTGAAATACAATAATAACCATAATAATTGTTATTTGAAAATTCAATTCAAGATTCTTCATTTGAGCATGTACATTTGTATGCAGGCTGGAGTAGGTATTTTACAGGAGAGAAGGCTGGCCTTTTCAATTGGTTTATTTCTTGGTATATTTCCACAGCTAAAATTCAGCATGATAATGGACACAGATATTGGAATGTTAGGTGGAAAATTGGAGCTTAACAGAAAACATTTGTTTAGAATGACAGAAATGATAGCATTATTACAAATATTAGCAAAAAGATTAACACTCATTCACATGATGCATTACTATCTATCCAGAGTTGTATAGATCTCTGTGTACATTTGTGCAGGAGTTTTAAAATGTCTTGCTGCATAGAATGTAAAAAAGACATTTTCTTGAGAAGTGTCTATCCTTTGATGCTTGAACCTAATGCAAAGTCCAGAGAAAGAGCTTCTTGTTTAAAGAATGTTAATATTTTGAAGAATATACTGTAACTGTAGAGAAAAGAATTTGAAAGCAAAAGGAATGTACTATTTGACCTGGGAATCAACATATATTGTATTCCCTCCAATTATGTTAAATTGTCCAGATTTTTCAGTGGGAGGTTTTCTTTAGCAGATACTTTTGTGCTGAGGTTGGTAACTCCATGGGCTTTTTTGCTAGGACATGCTCTTTTTTATGGCCTGTTGCTTGTTCTGATCTGTATGTATCTTCAACTTCAAATAAGTATGAAAAGCCATCTATTTTGCAGGAATGCTTTGCATGCATTGGAAGGTGAGAACTTTTCCTTCCAAAGCTTCATCTGCTTTTGCTTTTCTTTAAAATGTTTTTAACTGTGTGGTCTGTGAAAAAATTTTTTTGGTTATCCCATGTAATGTTGTCCCTGGAGGTGTGGCATTGTCATTCTTCCAGAGCTATATCACTAGTGCTTCTGCAAGTTAAGTTCCCAAGACTCCCAACTAACAAGTTATAGAAATAAAGGTTATCTGTGAATTCCATCCTATTTGTAGAAAGATGGAATGCACTGTATAAAAAAATGGAAGTCACGCTAAGCAAGGAATGTTGTGCATGATAAACCTAAAATATTTTTATATGCTTACTATTTGAATTGTTAAAAAAGCAAATTGTTCTTTTCAAATGCACTATATACGCGTGTTGTTTTTGCAAAAATAACCTGGTTTTTTAATGAGGGTTGAGTATATTGCATATAATCAAACAGTCAGTAATATTGGTTAAAATTACAGTAACTCTGTAGTAGCTATTGCTGTATAATAGTCATTAAAGGATTTTATTTCATTAGAATTTTATTGATGAGAAAGAATTTTGAAGATTAGCTACTGCTTGGAAGAGGCAGTTTGACTGATGGATTTAACCATTTTTCTATGTCTAAGTAGGGCTTTTTTTCTTTCCTGCCTTGTCCAGTTATCTCTTTCCCTTACTCTCATCTCCATTGTGTTTTCTTTCTTTTTTTAATTCTAGCTGTCAGGCCTCACATTGGCAAGGCTATGAATCTTGGCTCTCTAGGCACTTAATCCCCTATTCAGAAATCGGTTTGTGGCAAGATGATTGCAGATAAGAATGAAACCAAATACACCCTGAAAATGTGCCCACTGCAGTTAGCAGAAATCAGTCATTCTATAGGCATGTGCTCTAGAGTTGTTTTGATAGCCTTGGAAAGGCTTCTGATTTATGCTCTAACATCTTGCTAGAGGGGAAACTGCTGGTTCCTGCCTTGCTCATCTTTTTTGCTTACTTCTTCAATTCCATATGATGGAAGGAAAAAGTATTTGTGGATACATCAGTTCTGTTTTATTTTTTCTCATGAGAGGAAAAAAATGTAGAGCAACAGTTAATCTTGCAAATAGACAATTTTATTTTACAAGCATTTAAGTTTGATTAGTTATGTAGTCTATTGATACAAGACTATGGTTTTTGTTCTAGCCCAGCCCTTCAGTTTCAAAAGAGAAGTTATGTGGATAGCATAATTAATATATATGTTAGCACCTTTTGGAAACAAAGGAGTTGTGCTTTTTTAAAGGATGCTGCAGTAGCATGAGCCTAAGAAAAGATTTGTTTGATTTAAAAGGTATTTGTTGAATAGCCACATGAACTTCTGAATCTAAAGCACTGCACAACCTTGTGAATATTTCCACAGATATACAAGTGTATCATGTGCACACATTTATGGAGTCAGTGGGGAAATCTCCAGAATTGATTTCTGTGGAGTTATCAGTCCTAAATTGAAAAGATGGGGAGACTGGACATGTTCCCCCCACTGCACTAACCATCTTTTTTTCTGCCTACCTTTTGGATGAGTATTATATATGTTTGGAAAAAAAGTGAGCTTAGCTATGCTGAAATCGCAAAGGGAAGAGAGGATCAGTATTTTATGCAGTGTGTGGTTCGAACTGCAGATTTTTATTTGGATGTGTTTTGATGCTTGTCATATAAGGAATCTTGCTAAAAATATTACATTCCTTATATAGATGTTTTTAGTAGTTAATCACAAGTAAGAAAAATATATGGGGAAATAGCTTCTAAATTTATGGGGGGAAACGCAAGAACTCTCAGCAGTTGTGCTTCAGTGCCCATTCTTTACCCTTCTAGGGATTAATACAAACATAATTATTTATGTAAAATGAACAAGCATAGATTAATTGTAATTTAGGCAGAATTACTTTTTAAAAATGGAATATACACTGCCTTGTATATGTTGTATCACATCTTTGACAAGACAACTTCTTATTATTTTAACAATTACTTTGATTCCTTTTGTCTTATTTTCAGATTCTAGACCCATAGCATTCTTTGTTGTAACCTCTCCTGCATTTTCCATAGTACAGAGTAGATGCTCATGATTAAGTTGTAAGTTGTCATTTAAACAAAAAAAGATCCCCCTTTCCAGATCAAGAGAAATAGAAAATTGCTCTTTTTCTATCATATTCCTTTGGAGCTTAACTTGCAATCTAGGCTAATTGTTGTCCAGCTTGAAAAACCTGTGTTCATGAGTGTTTTGTTTTTCCTTCTCTGGCTATATAAGGATGCTTTATCTCTCCCTCATATTTTCTTTAAGCTTTCTCTTCTTTTGCACTGTTTCTTCTTCTCTGCTTTTCTTCTCTTTTTCTCATCCATCTCCTGGTTCCTCATCCCCTGCATGCCACTAACTAGTTTCATTAGATATTAATTGATTTGTGAATTCAGGCTGAATTGCATCATCAGCAGATGGCGGATCCTGAGTTGTTGGAGGAGTCCTCGTCGCTGTTGGAACCAAGTGAAATGGGAAGAGGGGCCCCACTGCGATTGGGGTATGTTTTTTTTTAAATTAATGGTACTTTATAAAAATTGTAGCACTGATGTTAAGGACCAGAGTTACTCCAGTATGCTGTAATATTATTCTTGGTTTCTTGCATAGGAAAATACAAGTTGGCAGTCTTGTCCTCTTGTCCTTTTCTATATCAGCTGAATTTAGGAATTCAGATACTGGATAATAAGTATATATTATTCTAAAGTAGTGTAGATTTGATTTCTGTATCTATTACTATTAGAATGTAATACACTGAAAACAATTACATCATACAGAACAGATAATCTACAATATTTCTCAAGTATCAATTGTACTTCATTTTCTAAAGGTGTTAATTATCTGGAGAAGATAAGTATGGCTCATTAACAGCCATAATTGATAATTTTATATTAATCATAATTGATTCATTTGTTTCTAAATTTAGGAAATTAGAAATCTTATTAGGACACAGGAAAGTTGCCAAGAAAATAAATAGTTTTAATTTATTTTGGATAGAACAGCAGTATACTTGTTTTACTTCACTTTACCTTTGTTGATTTATATCCCATCCTTTTCTCAGATACTGCAAGGAATGTATACTGCATATACTGTTCTTCTCTCTCATTTTATTCCCATAACCATCCTCAAAAATAGGTTGATTTGAGAAAATGTTACTGACTCAAATTCCATGCCCGAATATGGGCTTCAACCTACTTTCCTTAATCCTTTTAAAAGCAATTTACTGTACTGTTTAACTTAGAGACATATTTTCCCACAGCTGTTGCCATTAATTTTGATAAACTCTTACTTCTATCAATTTTATTCAACAAGAATTTTCTAAACATATTTTTATTATTTTTTATAATTAATTTTATTATTTTTAATGATAAAAATATATATTTTAGAAAAGAAAGAAAAATAATGAATAAATAAGAGGCAAATTAAGGAGAAGAAACAAAGCAGGGGGAAAAAAGGAAAAGAGTAAAAAAGTGGTTATAAATGCATTTCATATTTTACCCCCTTTCTAAATTTATATCATTCTTTCCATAATCTCCTTTCCAAATCATCAAGCCCATAAATCACAAGTACATTTTTTCTTCAGCAAAAGTCAGTAAGGGGTAATTTTATTCTATAACTGTGTTGATGTTTTCTAGTTGTCTTTTCTATAACATATCTTAATTTTTAAGATGCTATTAAGTATTGAAGAAGGCCCACTTATGCAGATAAACTTCAATATTTATTTCAAAAGCTGATCCAAACATTTACAGTTTATGATGTTTTCCCCACGATCTAGGTCTTCCTTAAATTTTATGCTCTGATTATACTCCTTTCAGAGATTTAGTTCAGAGAATTTCATTATATGGATATCAAGACTTTTTGATAACTGGTATTGTCAGTGAACTCTTAAATACTTCTTGATAACAGGTATTCTCAGTGAACTTCAAGAATTTAAGAATGCATGTATTTAAGTGTTGATCTTTTTGTACAGTAGCATTTATTCCTTGATAGTTCAGACATTGCTCCAAACCAAACCTTAATTTATGTTGACCATTAAGAATCTAAATTAAATATGGTAAGTAAGCATTGTACAAAAATTACAAATTGTTTATGTCCTATTTTTAATCATAGATTGCAACTTCATATATTTTCTCTATAGTCCATACATTTCTGAAATAGATTGAAGTTCACAGATACAGATTCAATTCACAAAAATCAGAAATTAATCATTTCTAACCTGATCTCAGAATTCTCAGTCAGCATAGCATTGGTAAGAATTCTGAAAATTGAAATTCATACATTTAAAGGATAACCTGATTTGGAAAGAGTACCCTAAACTATGAATTGTACTAATAATTGTACAATTCCCTACATTTCAGACCATTTTTTTCTGTACTGGAAACTGGATTAATTTTATTCAGATATACACAAATATCAGTTTCACTTCACTTCAAATATCAGTTTCACTTCACTCAGAGGCCAGTCCATGTTTTAGAATTTAGGCATTTGAAAATTAAGTAGCAAACACATCCCAGATCCATTCCTGAAAATCAAGATTGTTTATTTCTATTTATATAAAATTATTCTTTTTGCCATGCTGTTTATCAGATGACAATTTCCATGCTTAAGGAGTATAATTTAACATAAAAAATAATATGAATTCCTTTTAAAACATTACTTGTCTAATCAACAAAAAATAATTTAATCTCTTTTTTAGATCACAAGCACATTTTATACCGTGATCCATCTAGTCTCTAGAATTGTTCTTTTCATAATTCTGCTATATAGTTAATACTTTTGTTGTATTTTGTTTTATTTTTCTACTAACTTGCACAGTACCTGTATTCTTTTCTGGATTAGGTTAAAAGCATTAGAGCTTGATTCTATTGGTTTTGCAATGGCAATATCCATTTTTTTCTGGATTGATATTTATTTGCATATTCTTCTTTTTCTTCGGTTTCTCTTGTATTTAGATTTGTGGCTGGAGTGATTAATCGTGAGCGAATCCCGACCTTTGAGCGGATGCTATGGAGGGTGTGTCGTGGAAATGTTTTCTTACGACAAGCTGAAATTGAAAATCCTCTAGAGGACCCAGTAACGGTATAGTGGCTATTTCTGCAGCAGCTGACTATAGACCGGGGTGGGCAATTAATTTTCCCAAGGGGCCACATGAAAAATGAGGATCATTATGGAGAACCAGACCAATAGCTCCCTGCTTCACTCTTTAAGGCTGTGCTTTGACAGAAGCCACAGTGGGTGACTGAGCCAGAGTCCTTTCCTTCAATGACCATCACCATCACCTTATCAACCTGCTTTGGGTAAGGAGTGAATGCTACACAGGCTTAGAAAAGGCTGCCAGCCTACTAGTGGTCTTTTCTGTGCCTACTCAACATATACTCACATGTAACAACTTAAGGAGGTGTGTGAATGCATCTTGAGCCACCTGAAAGAGTGCACTGTGGGTGAATAAAGTTCTTTAAGGGATTATTTTCAATATTAAGCAAAAATCAAGAATATGGGAACATAAATCTCAAGCTGGCAGGAGGGAAGATCAAGAATAAAGTTAGAAAGCATTACTTCACAAAAAGAGTAATGGAAACTTGGAACCCATTTCCAGTGTAGGTAATGAGTGGGTCATCAGTAAGTAAATTTTATACTTGGGATAAACATATGTCCATCATCTGACAAAAAATTAAAAAATTGAAATAAAAATAATAATTAAAAATAATAAAAACATAATAAATAAAAAGGAAAAAACCCTGAAAGGTCAGACTCACTAGTTTTTTTTTTTTTTCTGCCACCAGTTTTCTATATTTCTGCTTAGAAAGAAAATCAACATTCTGTTCATAACAAGTGCCTCTATTCTTATTAGGTTTGTGCAAAAAATTACTAATGAAAAATGTTTTCATTTGGACAAATGCAGGAAGGGGGAGTTGCTATCCAATTCTAGCCACCTGTCTGAAAAATGCGCTACTGGCCTCTTGGGAAAGTTCAAGGGTTTGGATTCAAAAGTATATGGTTGATATCAGTCCATTGCCATTTACTTCTTTATCTCCTGCTTGTTTACTTCAGAACATCTCCTTAAGCAGCAGCCTTGGTTTATCTTTGTGGCTTCTTTGCTTATGTTATAGTTTCTCCAGGTAATACATTATTCAGAATATAAAAGGGATGGTTTTCTTATACTGTCTGCCGCTCTCCCTTTATCCTGTGGCTACTTGGTGATCTTGGTTGAAGATTTATGAGGGAATTTAGAATGATTTGAAGGAAAGTTTAATGTTTGAAATCCTACTTATTATTACCTGGATTACTTGAAGGCATAGAAGCTCATAAAGTTAGAGCTGGAGGTGTATTCATAAAATACTATTCAGGAAAATTATATTGGAAGGTTTTACATTCAGATAAGACCTAATTCATTATATTTTGAGCCTAAAAGGATAATGCAAGTTCAAAAGTTTTTTAAAAATTTGATTAGTTGGATTTTTTTGTCTAGGCAGGACACTGACATTGAATTATATATCTTTGTTACCTAATCCAACATATTTATTTATTACTTACTAAATCTAATCGATTATTAGTAATTCTTTTTTTTTTTTTTCTTGCTTTCTGGGGTAGCTTAGCTTGAACTTCTGGAACTATTGCTGCATAAGTGTGTTTTGAAATTCTGTGCTGTATGCTTTTTTGTAAAGTATGGCCTAGCTCTCTTGCCATTTTCAAAGGCATACTGAAGTAGTTAAGGAAAAGTGAAGGCTTTTTTTAAAATTCACCCTTCCTCCTCACCAACCCTGAGGCTATTTCAAATCTTGAAAAAGATTTCAGAAAACTTCAGAAAATATATATGCTTCTACTTAGCAGGGATATGATAAGAGAGAGAGGATTTGAGAAGTCCCCAGTAAATGTTATGACTAAGTGGTAGATTTGAACTAGGATTTTCATGATCCAAAGCTAATTCTTTCGCTACTCTCAACTGGAAAGCTTTAATTTCAAATGGACCTTCTCTATCTTTTCTTTTTTAGGGTGACTATGTGCACAAGTCTGTGTTCATTATTTTTTTCCAAGGTGACCAGTTGAAAAACAGAGTCAAAAAGATCTGTGAAGGGTAAGCAAATCATAATAAGAAGACTGTTGCTTTTGATTTGTACTTTTTTTTATTCATTTTACATTATTTTCTAACCTTCCCATCCATTTGCACATATAAATATTGCTGGTTGGAGGGAGGCCAGGACATTAATCTCATGATTAGGTTATTATTATTATTTATATTGAATCACTTCTCTGTGCCTTTCAGATTCCGGGCTTCTTTGTACCCCTGTCCAGAAACTCCACAGGAAAGGAAGGAAATGGCTGTCGGAGTCAACACAAGGATTGATGATCTTCTAATGGTATAATAATGTTAGGATAAGGCAGGAAGAGACAGTTCTTGATTTCTGTCTTTATTTCTGAATTGGTCTCTATAGTTAATATACCTGTATACATATGCTGTAATTTGTACTGCAGAGATCATATTATTTAGATGAATTTGATGCAAAATAATCTATATCTATTGGCTAATACTGAATGGAATCTCATCAGATTTGAAGAGCCAAAACTTGCCTACCCCTATTACAACACTGGGCATCATGTTATTTGATTTGGTGCTGGCTCTAACTGGTTACATTCTTTTGGATGAGCTTCAGAAGTAATTTTTAGGGAAGTACTAAGAACTTGCTATCTATCACATGGATTGATGATCTTCTGATGGTATAATAAGGGCCGCACTTCTCATTGTCTGATGTTCTATGTCAACTCATACACAATAACTTTCATGCAAGGTATTTTAGTTAACTTGACATCTTAAAATACTCTGAATCAGCATTAAAAGACTGCTCAAACAGATGAAAACAGTAGGTTGAAGTTTAATTCAGAGGTAACAATGTGGAATTGGAGTCCAATTGCCAAAGAAGTTTGTTTGTTTATATCTCACCTTTATTTTTACAAAGAACGCAGTGAACATACCTAATACTCCCTCCTCCTATTTTCCCCACAACAACAGCCCTATGAGGTGGGTTGGGCTGAGAGAGAGTGATTGGGCCAAGATCACCCAGCTGGGTTTCATGGCTACGATGGTACTAGAACTCATGAGCCCCTGTTTTCTAGCCTAGTGCCTTAATCACTAGATAGGGCTGTTATGACTTTTCCTACATACTTTTCATAAACTCAAGGATAAAAGCTTTAAAACTGCTTTGTCAATAGCTGATTCCTGAGGGTTGTTTGAAAGCTCTATTGATTTAGCATATTAGCTATTCCTGCTTTAATTATATTTCTTCTTGAACTTCTAGGTATATTTCAATATCTGATACTATATTGAAATTCAAAAAATAGAATCTTTGTGGAGCAATGTTTCTTGTGTCCAGGATGTTAGTCTTTGGCAAGTCAGTGTGGAAAATATTATTATAAAGTAACCACTAATCAACTGTAAAAACAGAAATTTTTAGTATAGTTTCTAAAACTGTCATATTGCTATAGGCTTTTCCTGGATTTTGCATAAGAGATTATTTTTTAATGTTGTAAATAGAGTGAAGTTACATTATAAACCAATGAGGTAAAGTTACATTATAACATTTAAATGATTTGGGACAAGAGAAATCTCCTAGGGTCAGATACACTCAAACTCCACTCTTTTCTAGCTAGACTTCACAATTTGCTATCTATTTTTTTAATCTCCTGCTTTAGTCTAGTAAATGCAAACAGAATTAAAGTAGTGTGATCTTTCCTTATTAGTAACATAAGCAAACTATTTTTTCTTTTTGGAATAGTCTAAAGGAAGATTAGCCAAAGCCAATATTGTGCTTTGTATATTTCCTCTCTGAGGGAGATGGACTTTTAAGAAATAAAAATCTTAAATAAATAAATAAAATTAAAATTTGGAAATGCAAGAACAGGATTGGAACTATGGAACTGGTGTAGCCCAGGTAACTCTTTTGCTCTCACCAGTGCATAGTTTGTATTCCTGCTTTCAACTGTTTTGTTCCTGAAATAAGGATTGTTTACTCTCCATGTAGAAGAGTTGGACATCAGTACATGGTTTAAATTTAATCATCCTATTAATCTAGACTTCTAAGGTGAAGGAATGAAATTGTAGTTTGTGTGAAGGCTGAACTAGGGTGTGAAACTGTTGAAATTCTCAAATTAGAGTGAACTTATATGAATTTCCATAGCTCATAGATGATATATACAGAATAGACTTCATCCCCCCCCCTTTTTAAACAAAGTCTCTCCTTCCCATGGCAGGTGCTGAACCAAACTGAAGATCACCGTCAGAGGGTTCTTCAGGCTGCTGCAAAGAATGTCCGTGTTTGGTTCATAAAGGTGCGCAAGATGAAAGCCATTTACCATACTCTGAACCTCTGCAACATTGATGTTACCCAGAAATGCCTCATTGCTGAAGTCTGGTGTCCTGTAGCTGACCTTGATTCCATTCAGTTTGCTCTCAGGCGTGGCACGGTGAGCATGATTCATACCTCTTAACCTCTTCTAGGATGTTCAGCATTACTGCTAGCCCTGACATTCAAGAAAACATGGAGTTTTCTGAGCCTTGCAAGCAAAATCTGTTTGTGGAAACAGATTGCAGTGGATTTTTTTAGTTAAAGCATTCCCTTTCCATCTGGGTTAGACAGAAGCACTGTGCTGTTCCTTGAAATGTGTCCCAACTTTGAAAGCAAATGACCTTTAATTCATATTTCTTAGTTGTTTCTCAAGAGGAGGCTTGCCTTGATTTTTGTTCTCTCAGAAATACAGATAGTCTTGAATTCAGGTAAGTGATAGCCCACTTCTTTTGAAATCCTTTTGGTGTTTTTAAAAGCAAAACTTTTGTAACAGTCCTGACTTTATTTATAGGAATTTCTTCATGCATAATTTATATATTTGAATGAAAGAGTGATAGAATCCAGTATCTTTTGGGTTGTAATTCAGGAGGAAATCCAAACATCTATTTTGGTTTGTTTGTTTGTTTGTTTTTGGAAGAATATTTTGTATAACTTGTATTCACCAAAATTAAAAAAAAATGTTTTCTAAAATAGCTAAATAAAAAGGTATGCTTGAAAATGCACAAGAATGAAAGATTGTAAAAGCTGACGGGGTTTCCACTCAGTTGAAAAAGTAGCTTTTCTAATCTTCAATTTGTTTGTGTATAACAGGAGCACAGTGGATCTACTGTCCCCTCTATCCTGAATAGGATGCAGACCAACCAGACTCCACCTACATACAATAAGACCAACAAATTCACTGATGGGTTTCAAAACATTGTAGACGCTTATGGCATTGGAACCTATCGTGAGATAAATCCAGGTACTTGCATGTATCCTGTGAAACTGCTAGCTTTTCTGATAATTTGTTTTAAGAGTCTGATTTGTCTCCTTTCTGACTTATTCTGTTGCAGCAATTTAACTTACTGAAAGAAACCAAAACAAATTAAAAAATCAATATTTATGTTGATTAATACATCCACTTTATATATCAATTCTGTTGATCTATTGATCCAGTTTTATTTTATATTACTGGAAAATTGCTAAGGAAGTTTAATATAATAAGTTTGAGTTCCAGGGGGTGGGGGGGATCTATTTAAGTTGACATTTTGTTTTCATATTAAATTGGCAAATTTATTTTTAAAATCAAATCTACCTGTACATGTTTTCTAATAATTCTGTAATTTTTCCTAGTATTATACATTTTTTCAACAAGCCTTTTGCACATTTTACAGATTTTTATAAGTGCTGAATTATACCAAAAGTAGATAAGCATATAAAAGCATCTGATTAGATGATAGAGTTAAAGTGCATCTTGGGAAAATTAATACGGTATTAAACTGGGCATTAAATTAATTAGTCTGCCAGCTCCTCCGCGAAAGACCATTTTGAATTCCAGTAAATATATGTGTAGAATGATCTGGTAAGCAATATTTTCCTCCATTTTCAAAATGTGTCAAGTGAAATCTGTCAACAAAGATCCTAAACAAATTTGGCAGTCATGAGATAAGAGATGTCCTCTTATAGGGTATTTAACATTTTTATTCTGATCCATGATATGATGATCTTTAAAACTTTGCTCTACAGTTCTAATAATATTAAAAGTACTATAAAGTTGGAAAGTGCAATCAAAGTAATAAAACAAGCAGCAATCTCCTGAGAAAGGATTGCAATTTGCAACATTTGGGACTAATTTCCTTAGAAAACTGTTATTTTAAAAAGGAGATGAGAGAAAAATATATGGAGAAAATAAACTTTTCCTCAATTGTAATTCCAGAACTCAGAAATAATGTTAACCACAACCACTGGGAGTTGTCAGCTTCTGGGAACCATGGGGTGTGGGGAGTTGCATTACTGATGTTGTATATCCCACCTATTTCATTTTCTCACTTTTCTGGTTTTTGTATCACTTTATAACCATTGAGTAGTATTTTTTATCGATCCCAGACAATATTTTACCCATTATATTTTATACCTCACTTGTCCCAAAATGCTGATGTGAAAAAGATAGTTATACTTATTTGTACAAGGGAAAATATAGATTCAGTCCCAAAATTATGAAGATTCTATACAGTTAACTTTTATACATCTTTATAAAAGTTTCTTCTATGTTTTAAGGCATCAGTATCAACACATTTTCCAACCACAGATAAACTAAACTGGCATATATGCAATTAGAAGAACAGGCTTTTTTCAAGGTCTAGGCATGCTCAGTAGATCATTGTTTTCAATAACTGTTTGTCATTCTGTTAAATAATTTTCAATCTCCCATTTTCTCAGCTCCATACACAATCATAACCTTCCCATTCTTATTTGCTGTGATGTTTGGAGATTTTGGACATGGCATTCTTATGACACTTTTTGCTGTCTGGATGGTAGTCAGAGAAAGCCGCATTCTGTCACAAAAGAGTGATAATGAGGTAATTTAACCACTGACTTGAGAAATTAAGATTTAAATTTAAGGCTTTTTATTCTATGTTCAGTTGGAGAAAAATGCTTTGTTTTCTTTGGAACTGCTGGGTGAAAAATTTTTCTGCTATATGTCTTTATATAAAACAATTGTCAGATATTCCAGTATGCTTTTTGTTCTTCTGAATCAGAGCTGAGATCATCCAATCCTTTGAAGGGATAGAACAGAGTTAAGTAGCCCAGAAGCTATAAAGAGCCTCCAAACTTGGTGGCACTTATGGCAATAAATGTTCAGATGAGAGAGGGGGCAGTTAAGGAGCAAAATGTACTTCATAAAATCTCCCTCTTCTAACCATCAAGTTAAGCTTTCCAATTTGGGATGAAGATTTAAGGGGTAAAATATGCGTCTTAACTTCTTGCAGGGCCAGAGGAATCATTTTCGTTCTTTGAACTTTTACATCTTAGAAAAATGCAAAAAAAAAGCCCCCTGCCTTAAAGAAATCTAATATAATATGATCTAAAGATGAAAAAGACTGTCTATTTAGGAGTCAAAGGAAGATGCTTGGCAGCATGCTTTTGTATTCTTAGTATTCTTAACAGTATCGTTGTCACATATTTCTAATTCATCTTTTTTATGTCTCTTCTCTTTCCTTCCCCCTAATTTCCTTTCCTAACCTGGACAGATATTCAACATTATTTTCAGTGGCCGCTACATTATTCTGCTGATGGGTTCTTTCTCCATTTATACTGGCCTGATCTATAATGACTGTTTCTCAAAGTCACTCAATATGTTTGGCTCATCCTGGAGTGTCCGGCCAATGTTTCAGAAATCCAACTGGACGTAAGTGATGAGTTGCCCGCAAAGGCAATGGATAGCAAAATAATTGGGAAATGGCTTCAGGAGGTTTGGAAAATGATGAGTTGATAAAAGACACGGAAATGGCAGAATAACATTATTGAATGTTTACCCTTTTACAACTGTTTCTGGAGTACATTGATTTTGGCATATCTGTTCTGCTCTGCTTAGATATTAATGCACTTGCTTCTTTTCCTTTCTCTACAGAGAAGATCTTCTCAGGGAGTATCCTATGCTTCAGCTTAATCCTGCCATCGATGGTGTCTTTGGTGGAGCATATCCCTTTGGCATTGATCCAGTATGAACCACCATTTTCTATTTTTCCTTCCCCTTCATGTTGTTTCTCTTTCTCCACATTCTCACTTTATCCTTATAAATTAAAGGAGATATCAAAGTATCAAAAATGTCTGATTCACTGGAAAAAAAGATAATTAGTTCAGTTGTTTTGTTAATGTGATAGGCTGTTTACTGCATATTAAGAGAGCATTACATTATGCAGAATGAGATGATAGAATTTTATATTTCATCCTAGTCTTTAAAAATTACATTTAAATTTTTTTTCCACGTGTATCAGTAGTATACAACTTGTATTGTGCTCTCCTGAAATGCTGACTTGCCATATTTTGAATCATCCAAAAATATAGGCAATCCTAAATATGTCTAAAATGGATGGGACATTTGCCTGGACTACCAAAATTTCCTTTACATTCAAATCCTTTTATAGAAATGCCTCAGATTGTTTCTATAGTCATGACGTCCATGAACTGGTGGTGTTTAATTGTTTATTTAAAGTGAGAATGGTTTTTTGTCCCATTACTTTGGTCTAACCATTATACTTTATTCTTTGTAGGTAAATAGAATTTTGAAAGACAGTATGAAAAGACTTCTGTTCATCTCTCCGTCAGCACAATAATTCTCTGATAACTAAGTAGAGCAGGGCCAAATTTAGCCCAGGAGGAAAACCAACAAATGAAATATCATATTTAAAAACTAAGGCTGGGGGATTGCAGAAGAAAACATTCCTAAAAATTCACCCAGTGTATCTTTGTGGGAGAGGCACTTGGGAAGTAGTTCAACATGTTGTGACTGCTCTATTCTAAACTTTTTTCTCAAGTCACATGATCCAGAGTGGAATGAGTGCCTCCCACTGCTTATATGAATAGAACTTATGGCCATTGCTGGAAAGGGGTTGGAAAGAATTCCAGGTGGCATGGTCTACCTTCTGTCTTATCTTGTTTAATTTTTTTTTCTCTAGATCTGGAATATTGCTACCAACAAGCTGACATTCCTTAACTCCTTCAAAATGAAGATGTCAGTAATTCTGGGCATCATCCACATGATGTTTGGTATCACCCTTAGTCTGCTGAACCATATGTGAGTTTGTTCCATTTAATTAAATTATTAAACAGTAAAGGATATGAAAATAAAGACAGAATATTCATTATAAGTTCTTTTCACTTTGTTCCGAATAATACTCTTACGGGCTGCCAAAAGTCATGCACTTGAATTTTTTTAAACATGAAGACTTTTTCTTATAACACATTGTTACCAAGATAACTAAATGAACATGTTCATGAAATTGCTGGAAGTTAAGTATTGAAGGAGGCTTGGGATTTACTATTCAATAAATAAACCTTATTTAATTTAGCAATTGACTATTAATTGCATATTAACTAAACAATTAATTTCACAATTTGTTGGCTAAAAGCATTGTCGAATTTTTCCTAATTTTTTCCTAACTATTTCTTAATATTTTTCCTAAAATATTTTTTCCATACCTCTATAGTTATTTTAAGAAACCTCTGAACATCTTCCTTGGCTTTATCCCTGAAATTATCTTCATGTCTTCATTGTTTGGATATTTGATCATCCTTATCCTCTATAAATGGGCAGCATACAATGCTAAGAACTCCATGCATGCACCAAGTCTTCTTATTCACCTCATCAACATGTTCCTCTTCTCCTATGAAAAAAATGCCCAAATGCTTTATAGTGGACAGGTAGGTAAAGGAGGTAAAGAACTCTCCTTCTCTATAGGAACTTATGTTATTCATTTGGGGGGTTTAAATGAGTTATCCATGGGGTGAGAGAGACAAAATGTGAAACCTGAGATTGATGTCATTACCAGTTAGTACAGTCTTTGGGCGGGGAAAGATCCAGTTTGTTTTAGTGGTTAAGACTCCAGGCTAGAAACCAAGAAGAGTGTGAGGTCTAGGCTTCCTTTACATATAAAAGCCAACTAGGTGACTTTAGATCAGTCACTCTCTCCCAGCTCAACAGTATTAAGCAAAGGGCAACAAGCTGATTAGACAATTCCTGTAACAACTAATAGGATTGACATTTGGATGATGTGAAAATCGATCCTGCACCTACAGGAAAAACTTTAGATAGGAAGAAAAAACAATACAGGTATTTGGAAAATACTATGCAAGATATATGAAAACAACCCCTATGTTCTGATGCGAATTGTATCAGGACATTTCGCAGGGAGAAGGTTTTAGTCATAAAACTTTGTAGTTCCTAATTATGATTAACAGCAGGTTCATAGACATTTCAGCAATGGTTCAGTGTCTCCCATAGATAGCTTGGTTAGGTTTTGTTAACCAAGTTCAAGTGGTGGGCCTTATATCCCACAATTGGAATTGGTACTGAATATTTAGCTCATAAATGTGCAATGCAGCTACTGTCATTAAGATCTTATTTACTTTTAGTGGTGATGTCATTGATTGTCCTGTTTTTCTTACAGAAAGGTATTCAGTGTTTCCTGGTGGTAGTAGCATTTCTGTGTATCCCATGGATGCTGATTGCTAAGCCCTTGATTCTTCGCCAACAGTATTTGCAAAGAAGGCATTTGGTGAGTGACTATAAGATTTTTTTTCCTAAGAATCTTTTTATTTATTCAAGTATGGAGGTTTGGTCCAATTTTCTACAGTGGAAAACTGCATGCAGATGAATATTACCCTCGTTTTTTTCCTGCTCTGTGCTAAGGAACAGGTACACCCATAATTGCCTAGTGTTGTCTGAATCTGTCTCCTGAAATCTTGATCCGTATGCATGTATTTGCCACATAGGAATCCAAAGAGCTACTTTAGATATGCCGAGCCCTGTGAGATTCTTGATATTTTCTTTTAAACAGCGGACACTTCTGTCATAAATATTTTTTGGGTCTACTTTTGGTTTAGAAGATGTTAGTTGCATAGAGAAGGATGCTGCTTTTTAAGGAAAAATAAGCCCTCACAAACCCTTGGATATGTTTTGAGGTGTTTTTTTTTTAAAAAAAAAATCTAGGACTATAAAGGGAAATTTGTCTTACTGGTATGTTACTGAAATAATGGGCAGCCGAAAAGAGAGACTGCCCCCATGATTCTCCAACAGATCTGACTCTGGCTTCCATATCTGTTGTTCTTGTGGCAAGTACGTTGTTAAGATGCAACTGCCCTTCAAAGTGCAGCTCAGTTAAAGACACTCCCTCTTCCTTCTCTGACCCTCTCATTTTCCCATGACCCCTCCATTTGTTTCCCTTTTTTTCTCTTGTTTTTCTTCTCCTTTCCTGCTTTCTTTCTTTCCATTCACTATCAGGAAGGGCAGCCTGAGGAACCTCATGTCAGCCCAGGCCAGAGTCCGCAGGCAATAGAGGCAGCAGCGGCTGCAACAGTGAGTGGATTAAAAGATGCCACCTGTACACATGATGAAAACAGAAGGGCTCAGGAACTTTGGAAAATATCTCCCCTGAGGAAGAGGAATAGCACAGCTGCCTTTTGTTAAAAAAAAAATACAATCCAATATTCTTATTCATTTCAAATTCTACCCTCATGCATATAGGAAATGATACAGTCTAAGTTTATATCCGAAATGATACAGTCTTAGTTTATATCCGGAGGATCCTGTAGTTACAGTATATTGCAGAAGATTATCTGCATGTTTTAAACATGTGCTCACTATTTTAGAGTGCCAGCTAGAGCTTTCTGGAATTAATTATCGCTTATCCCTAGTTGCATACATCCTTTCTGAATGCAGATTGTAAAGGAACAGGACAACAATGTGAAAAAGTGCATTTAAAGGCAGCTTGGCCGCTGTTACACTTCTTATTGTGGGATCCCCCCTAATGTGCTGAAAAACTTCAGAGTTCCTGAGAAAATAATTTGAAAAACACATTATTCATTAAAAGTCATCACAATATGGAAAGAATATCCCCTGTTTTGTATTTGTTCCTGCTTTTTCCATAATTGACAGCTTTTCCCTTCTGTTACGATCCCACCCAGGAGTCCTCCTTCCAACATATTTTAAATTTTTCATAATATTTTTTAAAATTACAGTCATATTACAGTCTTTGCAGTAGTACCATCTATTCCGAATTTACCTTTGCAGTCATCACTATTTTTCTGTCCATGGAAAGAATGCTTCAGGAATCCTTACGACAGTGCAGTGACTGTCACTCACTGAAGTGGAGGAAACTCTGTATAATTTTATAGCTTCTTGACTCTTAAGTAGTTTCTTTTGTTTTAAACTTCTGGCTGTCTTAAAAATCATGTGAATATCATGACTTCTTGTTGCAGTATTTTGTTCTTGGACTAAATCATATGATTGCATCTTTAAAAATCAGGGATGTTGTTTGACAGAATACAATATATTTTCAGTCTTGCTTTGTAAACTGGAATTATTATAAATTTTATATAAAACCAAAAATATTACCTCATTTTATCTGAGATCAAGGCTGATTTCTCAGACTCACGTTACCAAGTCAAGGTTAAAAACATTGGAACTGCTTTACTGAGTCAAGTCAAAAGTCAATACTACTTGCTAACCAGTAATATTCCTATGGAAATTTACAAAATAACATTAAATCTTAAGAATCTTCTAATTTTACCTGGGAACAAGGATTATTTCCAATCTTAAGTGTACAGAGTCAAGCTTAAGAACATAAGAACTATTTTATTAATTCAAATCAAGTTGTAGCATCCTGCTTGCTAACCAAGCAGGTATCTATGGAAGCTTATGAGGATGATGTGAAAGTGGAGGCTTTTTCAATATTTGGTTTTAAAGTTAGAGTGTCTGCTTATTCAGAGGGTCTCTGCAGTATGACAATTTGTTACCTATGTAGCTATGCAGGAGTCTAATCAGAATCGTATGAAGTAGGACTGAATTCAGTATAGATAAGATTTTTCTTGATCAGCTAATGTGGTTATCATATGAAACTAAATCAAATGTGATATTTCACTTTTCTAAGGATATGTGAGCATCCTCATTTTTCTCATTAAATAATTTGAGTTTTCTTGGCAATCAGTTAGTATGAAAGATATATTTTTAAGACTAAGAGGAACAAAACACCTAAGTCATTTTTCTTGTTATTGCTCTTGTAATGATCTAACATATACATAAATGCTTTCTAGTAATTTGGGGAGAGTTGCATATGCTAGAGTTAAGAGTGTCAAATGTCTAAACATATGCCTGCTATGTGAATTTCCCTGCTTTTGTGTTCCAGGAACATGTTAATGATAACCATGTTTCATATGAGACGCTGGTTGATCTTGCTATCATTCTTCTTTTTGCTAGCAAATAATTATTTTAGCTACTTTTATTATAAGTTACAGTAACTGAATCTTACAATTCTGAATGGACGCCCTACCCCACTTTATCTCAATGAAAACTAAGGAGGTCAAGTCTAAGATGCTTACTCAAATTACATTTCTGCTTTCAACTCACATTTCTTTTATCTGATTGGTGTCTTGGCTGGGGCACTTCTTCTTGTTCCTCAGGTTTATTTCTAATGCACATTACCTCAAATGAGATATGTGTAATAATCTAGTTTATATATAAAAAATGTGATATCTGAACATGAAAGCTAAAATTAAGTGGTTAGTTGAAGCTGTAGCAAAGGATGCTAAAACAAGAGCATTTTTGGTGGGTTCAGAATAAAAGATGGCAAGTAAAAAGCTTGATGAAGATGGTAGAAAGCTAATATATTTAGCTTTATAAAGAGAAGATTAAAGTGTTCAATTTTTATTTTAGCTCAGTTTTTCTGAGATAAGAATATGTTTTCCACTAGGCACCGATAGAAGATAGTTCAGCTTGATAGGGAATGCCAGGGAATGTATATTGGAGCTGAATGAATTGAGATTGCCTGAGCCTAATACATTCCATTCTAGGATACTGAAACAATTTGCTGATAGATTGACTTCACTTCTACTATCTGAGAAATGCTGGAGAATGGGGATAGTACCAGATCACTGAAAAATAAAAAGTATTTCTTTGTTCAGAAAAAGAGAAAAAAGGAAGATCCAAGGAACAATAGATTGACATTGATATCTGAGAATATTTTAAAGCAATTAATGAATGAGCTGAAAGGATTTTGGAAAAAATGAAGTGAAATTAATAGAAAGCAGTGTTTATCATTAATAAGCCTTGTCAGGCTAATGTTTCAGTTTTGGTCAAGTAGCTTCCTTAGTATATTGTGGGAATACTGTAGACATAATGCACCTTTAGTAAAGATGTGATAAAATATTTGATGACATTCTGGTTTCCAGGTTAGTTAGTTATACAAGCTGCATAGTCTATGTGACTCCACAATCATTCTGAAAACTACTTGTCAACAGTTATCAACACTTCTTTATCATTCTGCCTAAGGTATCAATGAGATGTCACAAGATTTAATATTAGGTTATGCACAGATGAAAATGTGGACAGAAAGATTATCAAAGTTATAGATAAAGATATATATAAAGGAAACGTATCTATGTAGATAAAAGACTGGCACAAATTTAAATAATTTTAAAACACAGAAAATTGGGCTCCTAAAATAAATGAATATTTTATTTAGTAAGGAAAGCCAATGACCAAGTTCATAATGCAAGGCACAAGTCATAGAATGATCATCTTAACATAAAGAAAAATAAAAACACCTTAATAATAAAAGAAATTTGACAGTGGAATATGTTTATCCAGAGAGGAGATTGTTTTTTCATCATTGAACATTTTCATGCAAAGGAAGCAGTCATAAGTCTGTAATTATTCAGTTTGGATTTTTATGCTGAATAGGGCTGGGCCTGAGTCTTAATGGATCCAAATCTGTAAGTCAGTGAATTGGAAAATATAAAATATAGGCAGTCCTTGATCTATGACATTTGGTCAATGCCATTCTAATTACAACAGTGTTGAACAAATTCTGGTTATGACAAGTCCTTGGAGTTTTGACTGGTCCAGCATCCCCTTGGTCACATGATTGCAGTCTGGGTGCTTGGCAGCCAGTTCATACTTAAGACCAGTTGCCCAGAATCACTTGACTGCCTTTTGTAACCTTCCTTTTCAGCTTCCCCAGAAAATTAATGGGGAAGCCAATAGAGGGGGTTCCAAATCACTGGGGTATGTCTCCTCCACCTGGGCACTCTCCTTTATCCCTTCTGTTCTTGTGCTGCAACGGCCATTCACCCAATCCTGTGCAATCTCCCTGATCTATGCCACTTGCTTACCTCACCCATGCCATGCTTTTTGCACATCATTCCCAACCCACTCTGACCCACATGGTACCTCTTGCACCACACAATGCTCTCCGCACAGTGTCTCTTGTGCACCTGAGTCCTCTCTGACCTTTACCAACTCTCCCTAACTTGCACTTCTTGTGCACTCCCTTGCCCCGTTCAGATCTTTCCCTGAATCCCTGCACACTCCTCACTCCCTTTCCCAGATACTTACTTGCCTGCAGACCTTAGACTTACAATTCTTTTGACTTGGTTGTGGGAAGCTGGCAGGAACAGACCTAACAACCATGGTATCCAATTAACAGCAGCAATCGGAACTACAGGGATATGCACTTTATGACCACATTGCTGAGCGATGGAATTCCTGTCCCAATTGCTGCTGTAAATCAAGGACTACCTGTCATGCAACAAATTCTTGCACAAATCTTGTCCTAATGTACCTGAGAATTTTTTTTCTGGAATCAAAAAACAACAACAACCTACATATATATATATATATATGTGTGTGTGTGTATATATCTTTTCTCCTGTGTCGCATGCTTTAGGGCACAATCAATTTTGGTGGGATTCGAGTAGGCAATGGACCAACTGAGGAAGATGCCGAGATAATCCAGCATGATCAACTCTCCACCCATTCTGAGGAGGGTGAAGAGGTAAGTCTTCCCTTTTAGTACTGTAAAATTTTATGTAGGAAGATTTGTCTAGGAAAATTAACAGGCCAAACACATCCTCTGTTCCTTTGTTCACACTTTTGGCTTTGTTCAAAGAGAAACACTAAAAAGTTCTGTCTTAGACAAGTTCCAATAGCAACCAGCTAAAGTGGGTTATGTACATACATGGGTTGCTTTGTGATATTTTTTTACATTATCCCCTTTTAAAAATGTATTCCATTATTTGATTGTATTTTTTCACCTTGAAAAGTTGATCTTTTAAATACTGTTTAAATTAACCATATGTTTTGGCTGGTAGTCATACTCATTTTCGAAGAGCAGTGCTAAAATACTAGAAGTCTGGCTAGCTACTTATTAAACTTGTGTTATCCTTATACAGCAGGGGTGACAAACTCACGTTTTCATGGTGGTGACACTTTTTTCCCCTTCGCTAAACCGGGCATGGGCTTGGCCAGCGCATGACGTATCCAGCCTGTGGGCCATAAGTTTGGCAGCCCAGTTATATAGTATACATTGGGAGTTTAGATAAACGGCCTACTGTTTTGATCAGGATGTATAATGATGTCATGGATACGAGCTGGATAATCTCAATGTTTATAGCCTGACTTCTTATACCCTGTGGGATAGGGGATATAGTCTTAACATTCCTGGACAATGGAGCATTAGTGCTGTGTTGCTCAGATGAAGAGGTGCTTTTGTATTCTTAAATTATACATGACAAGCTCTGTGTTCCTTTTGTGTTTTCAAGCCTGCCGTGGAGGAAGTGGTAAGCCTGTAGCCAATTTCTGTTTCTCTATTTATTCACATTAAATATTCCACGAATTTAAACTATTTTATAGAATTAAATGAACTCACATTAATGACTCGGCAGATATTGTTTTAATCATATGCATAAAATATTTATAATTGTAGATAACTATTAACCAATTTTTAAATCCATCTTCTACTTAAAAACAAATATGTGTATGAATCACTACATATACTTGAAGATTTTTCTGAATTTTGCTGAAATTTAGTTTATAAATTACTGTTTTGAATTGCACAGATTACTAATTATAGGGACTTGCTCTTCATTTGTCTGTCTCAGTCCCCAGGCTTTTCAAATCTTCTGCTTATTTGCTGTGTAAAGGTAATAAATGTCACAAGATCACTCATTTAAACGCTTCCGGTGAAAAGCCTGCATGTACATTGCAGCTAATCAGTTTCTGCTGCATGTTGTCACTTGTGTAGTCACACATCAAAGTTCTGCAGCAATCGCCAGAATTGTTTGTAGCTATCTAATTTATTTAATCTCTGTTTAACAAGGCTACATTTTATCCAGCTACATAGTTATCATTATTTGTGTTCCCAATAATGGGACTCCTACAGAAACTTATGTGATTAAAGAGATCAGGCAAATGAAGAGCAAGAGATTATTTGCAGACCAAGCTAGCCTCCCTTTTTACCTCCCTCTCGCCTATCTCTGCAGAAGAAGAAATTGTTGTTTCATTTTGTAATTATTATTGCTAGGTTTGTCTTCCAGTGAAATGGTCTATTCCACCCACAGATGCAGAAAATACCTTAGTTTTACTGACTTTCTGGGAAAACAATCATTTTATTGTCTTTTATTCTGCTTATAAATTGAGCTTGACCCTTCTAGCAAAACATATGTAGATCATATGTGTGTGTTTATATGTGTATACAGAGAGAGCTTTTCAATAAAGTAAAAAACAAACAAGGTATTATGATTAATTTAAGAACAATTAGAAAAAATTGAATAAAGAAATGAATGAAAACACACAAAAAAGTTCTAATATGCCTTCCACCCTTCTCTCGAGCAAGTCTTATTTTAATCTTTCTCCAAAAATATTTCCATCCAAGCTATATTTAATTCTTCAGGGGTTTATTCCAGAATATCTGGTAGCCCCAATGCATTACATAGATTAAATGTTCAGGTTGAGGTTGCCTAGTGCTCATTCAGTTTCAAGAATTAAAGCAAACGAAGTTCTTCAAACTGCATCTCAGAATACAGGAATGAGTAATATTAAATAAAACTGCTCGTTTGTTGTTAGTTTAAATTTAAAACTTTACATTGATCAGACATCAGAGTCATTAGGAGAGAATTTGAAATAAGGAGAATGAATATCTGTGTTAATATTTGCTTAACTATCAATTCAAGATAGACAATGTTGGACAAATCAACTGGAATTTTTTTTTTGAAAATGTGTTACCAAGGAGGTTCCTAATAGATTTTGTCCCTAGTGTATCAGCCTCTATTTTGTCCAATTTCTGAATGACCTGATGTCCTTTTTGGTTTTTGTAAGGAGCTAAATCTTGGCAGCACATGATTGCAGTAGTTAAAAATAGATCATTTTATCTTCTGTGCCTCTGCCAAGAGAGGAGCAAGAACCTTTCCACATGAGCCATTTGATAACAGGTCGGATAATGAATCCAAATGCATTGATGGGAATGTAAGACAGAGCACATGCAGCACAGATTTTCCTCCAAATATAGCTCTCACTTTATCTGCAATGTGCTGACTGGGGCAGACCCTTCACAACGGGACAAATTTAAGCATACTCATTAACCTTTGGACTGCTACATCACAAATAATTTTTTATACTCGTACCTTAAAATGGATTTTTTTCCATTTTGCTTTTTACAGCAGAATGTATATTATAATTTTAACACACGAAATCATGACAAAATGGTGGGTTGCCATCCTGCATCTAATAAGAATTGTAGCCAAACAGAATTTTAATTATTTGGGTCAGACTCTTTGTATTAATCCATTAGCTAGTCTGGTTTTCCTAAGAAATTGCTTAATGCAGGAGGAGAAACAGTTTGAGAAACGCTATTCTAACATCAAGCGGTTTCCCAGGAAATGGGAAAAAAAAAAAGTCCAGTTCTTGTAACTTTACTCCAGATACTCTCTTGTTGTTTCCCCCCTCTCTGCTATGATGCTGAACAGATTCAGAAATTCTGGTCGTTCTTGACTCATGACCGCAATTGGGACCTGAATCTCAGTTACAGAGTGAAGCAATCATTGAATGAGATATCCAGGTGGCTACTTCACTCAGTGACTACTTCAATCCTGACTCAATTGAGGTTGTTAAGAGGGAGCAAAACCCTCTTGTCTGCTATGGGTGGGCAGGCAGCTCCCCTCCTGCTTGGAAGGGAATGCTTACACTGAACTGGATAAATGAAGCAGGGATCTTCGTTGTAAACTCTACTTCATTTCTGCAGCATAGTGCAAGAGCTCCTCTCCACTCTATTCACAGTCAACAAAGATCTGAGCTTCATTTCTGCAGGCCCCTTCTCCCCACCCCACCCCCCTGCAGCTTACAACCTTCCCTGCCAATCTTCCCATTGACTTTCTGGGAAAGCCGGAACAGAAGATTGATCTCAGGGTTCTTTGCAACCATTTGTAAGTGCAAACAAGTTGCCAAGAATTCAGGCCATAATCACCTCACTAGTGTGTGCAGTGTGTGTGTGAGATGACATTTTATGATGACTGGAAGTGCTTTATGGGCTATAAAACATGATTTCTGTGCTGTCGTAATTTAATGATCATTAAACAACCAATGTCTACTCATTCAGTGACCATTTGAAGTAACAGCGCTGAACAAGGGAGACTTATCATAGGTCTTTTGGCTGCAGCCATCACAGACTTCCTGCAATCATATAATCACAATTCGGATTTTTGGCAACTAATCACAATTACAATGTTGCAGTACCCCGCTGTTACAAGAACATCATTTTCAACCTTCATTGTCAGCTTCCAATAAGTGAAGTCAATGGGAAGGTAGCAGGAGATTGTAAATGGTGACCATATAATCACGGATGGATGCTGCAACTGCATCAGATTTGCTTAATGATGGCAACTGGGGCATAAGTTGGTACTGTTACATGATGTTGAACCGTGGAACCATATTGCTATACAGTAGATTTCTTGGTCCTCATTTCATTGTTACGTGAGGATTACCTGTAACCATTATAAACCATTGTTTATAACTCTGCAGTGTTTGGGCCAGGCTTTAAATATATAAAAAAATATAATGCAAACCTCTGAGGATCTGTATAGAATAAGTACCTATAGCAGCAGATCAAATAGACCGGCCGCTTGACCATTGTGCTCTTTTCCTTTCAGTATTTTTCATGCCTCTTCAGTATATTGTGTAAGTGTGTTCTGTAGGGGAATGGAATGTGACTTTGTGCACAGAATTCCGCTTCCTCAGACTTTTATGGTCACTTGGCAAATGAAGCACATTTCTAAATATTCTTGCTGTGAGTAGTATGTGGAAAGTGCATGGTCAAATGTCTGCTGAAATTGAAAAATCTGTAGAGAATGGAGAGGTGGCCAGATAGACGAAATCAACGAGGCATCAATTTAGTGGGGCCAGGGTGGCTCATGTGGTAAGATGCTGGGCTTGTGCACCACATCAATGGTTTGATTCCCGTGAGCAAATAAACGCATAGGGATAAGAAAGGAGTCTCCCCCGAATGCCTACCGGCATTCAGGCGTCCCGCGGATAAAGATAACACCACCTGAAAAAAATTCCTTTCACAGAGGCAGTTGGCCACCACAGTGATCCCTGGTTAACATGTGCCATATGCTAAATAAATAAATAATTTAGTGTATAGCTTTTTGCCTTTTCCATGTGACAAGTCATGTTGACCTTTGACATTTTATTCTCAACTTGTATGGTGCTTATTATAAGACAAATATAGATAGCATTATGCAAAAACAATCTTGATAAAGTATCTCAAGCTTTTAAATGCAAAATATGGAAATCCCCAGTAATTTCAGTGTTTGTTTAGCATATCCATGAGTTAGTTTTGGCTAAGCCTTTTAAAATCTTCCATAATTACAAATAAGAGTCTTGAATTAATTTAATCTTTGTAGTTTGAAATATGTTCTCATGCAGTGAAACTTTAGTTCGTATCTGGTACTTCTATCTGAGCATCCTCAGTTTTGAAAAGGCTCCAGAAATTCTAAAATGAATCAGCCAAAATAGATGGAATGGCTTTAAATACTTTTATAACATTTAATCTCTCTGGTGACTATTCATCCTTTTCTTACTGCTTGTTAAATCTTATTCACCATGATTATTTAAATTGCCAGAATTATAAGTGGCTCTTTTTCTAAAGGGCAAATGATAAGAAAGTGGAAAATTTAGCAAATATAATGACCAAATAGATAAGTTCCTATCCATAGCATCTTGAAAGTATGAATAATGCTTGTTAATGCTCAAGTCTCACTAAGACCAGGTTTCATGGCAGTCCCATGCTGTTTGACAATTTTTGTCTCTTAGTGCAACAGGGGCATTGAGGAGGCATGGAAATGTAGGCCACAGAGATGTAAATTCCAAATTTAATGTTGGACTCTTTACTCCTAAATCATAATTTTCAGCTGCTTTGCTTGAACTTACATTGCATTTTGATGTGGAGAAACAACCGTGTTTGCAGTTTAGTGTTATACCGCCTAAACAATCATTTTATAGTAATTCTATTATATGCTATATTTAAAAATATAAAACCTATACAAATTTTAAAAAATTAAAAGACTAAAAAGAAAAAAGAAAAAAAAAGAAAGGAAAGGAAAAATAAGAATGTAGTAAAGAAAAAGAAATATATTAAAAATCGACTTTTCTCTTCATTAAAGCAAGTATAAACAATTTGGTAACTTATCATCTCTTAAAATACATCAAATAATCCCTTCTTCCCATATCCTATCTCTTATCTGTAAATAAATCGCTAAAGCCTCATCCTCAGGTAAATAGTCTGGGGAAATAATTTTCATTTTGCCATTTCTTCTCCAGAAGCCTACATTAAGTAAATAATTCTGAGCTGCCATCGACTTATGAGAGCCTAAGTGCTACCTGGGAATTTTGACTAACCTTGCAATGCAATAGTATTAGTTACTGTTGTTATTTTTATTGCCCGACTTTGTAAAAATTCTCTATTAATTGCTTAATGCTTTGTTTTTCACTTAGAACTAACTTCATTTTTTTTTGCAGTTTAATTTTGGAGATACCGTTATCAATCAGTCTATCCATACCATTGAATATTGCTTAGGATGCATCTCCAACACAGCCTCATACCTGCGTCTCTGGGCACTCAGTCTGGCTCATGCACGTGAGTAGTTTCTCCCTGACTTTTTTTTGAACATAGTGAAGAGGAAAGGCAAATTCCAGCCATGGATTAAAAGATCAGTTGTTCCTTTTTATTATTGGTGTAAATGAAGGGAAGGGAATCTAGTACTCTTTATTAATCATAATTCATATTTTTAAATTATGATTCCTATAATCCTTTACTTTTGGCCATGTTGACTAAAGTGGAAGTTGAAATCTAAAACAGAGAGATTATGGCTAGTACTATTCATTTCTTTTTATTATGCTCCATATAAAGTTATAGTGCTGGAAAATATCATATGCACCCACTATTTCTTAGCTCCTTATCAAAATTGTTTAAAGTACTATTTATTACATAAGTGTACCCTTGAAGCAGGATTTGTATTTTCCACTGTGGAATGGGTGGGGAGTCCTTTAGAGGAAATTGTTCCTGGTGTATGATTCACAGATGTATGATGAATTTGAAGAACTGGCCTCTCCACACTTTCTACGCATGATCATTAGATACCTTTAAAAAGACAGACGGAATGAGGTTGGAGCTGCTAGTCCCTTTTGATTTATAGTTTTTTCTCTTCACAGAGCTTTCTGAAGTCCTCTGGACCATGGTGATTCACTTGGGTCTCAGTATCAGGAGTCTGGCTGGTAGTTTGGCCTTGTTCTTTTTATTTGCTGTCTTTGCTACCCTAACAGTGGCCATCTTATTAGTCATGGAAGGTCTTTCAGCTTTCCTGCATGCTCTCCGTTTGCACTGGTGAGTGTCAAGTAGTTGATTATCTTCTACAAAAAAAAAATCAAAGTCATAACTCAGTAAGAGTATTTGAATCTTAGATCTGTAAAGACCCAGTTTTGATCCCTGCCAACTCCTGATGAAATAGAGCTAACAAGCTAAGAAGGAACCTGTGTAAAATTTTGTAGCATTGCTATCAAGCAGAGCAAATACCGTATATACTCGAGTATAAGTCGACCCGAATATAAGCCGAGGCACCTAATTTTACCACAAAAAAACTGGGAAAACTTATTGACTCGAGTATAAGCCGAGGGTGGGAAATGCAGCAGCTACTGGTAAATTTCAAAAATAAAAATAATTAATTTGGGAAACGATTTCACTATCATGAAAGGTTTAATAGATTCACTAACCCAAAAGAAGAAGATGATGATGACAGCGGGAGGCAGGAGTCACTCTCTTCCCCTCCCCTCAGAGGCCCCCTGAGTCAGGAGTCGCTACCGCCGGCGCGGCCCCAGTCCCGCGTCGCCTCGGGAAGGGAAAGGCAAAAAGGAAGAGCCGCGGCAGCGCTTTGCAACGGCAGCAGCGGCACCGGAGGCTCAGGCTCAGCGGCTCCTGGTTTTGCCCCACCCTTCCCAAGGCAATGCGGGACCGGAGCCGCACCAGCGGCAGCAACTCCCGACAGCCCCAGCCGGACACCTGAGTGGAGCCCGGGCGGAACTGCCTGTTGCCACCGTGGGCGCCGCTGCGGGCGCCTGGCTGCCCAAGTAAAGAACATGGCGGCGCTGGACCATTGGAGAAGCGGAGCAAAGCCGGAGACCAGCAGCCGCCTCCCTCGGCGCAGAAAGCCTCCCCCAACCAGCCGGCCGGTCTCCTCCTCCTCGGCCACACAGAACAAACAGGCAGAGAAAGAGGAGAGCAGCTGGCCAGCCGGGGGAGGCCTCCCGTGCTGCGAAAGAGGCAGCCAACGATCTCTGGCGCCGCCCTGCTCCACGCGCTGGCTGCTTGGACTTGCCGGGCCCGGCACATAGAACAGGGCGGCGCCGGATGTTGGAGAAGCCGAGCGGAGCCGAAGCCAACTCGGCTCGCGTTGTTTTCTGAGCCTGCGAGCCTAGAGCCAGGGCGCTTTCATTGCACGCCGGAGCTTCTTGTCTCGGGAAAAACCGGGCGTCGTTGCTGCCCCCTGAGGGGAGAGTGATTCTGGGCTGCGCGATTGGGGGACTTCGTGGCTTTGGGTGGGTGGGTGGGAGCGAGGACGGACGGAGTCCATGAAGTGGGGCTTGCCTGCCCTTGCTGGCTGCCTCTGCTTCCTTAGGGGCGGGGAAGGGGGCTCATCTGGACCAAGGGTGAGTCTCCCCCTCAGTTTCCCCAGAAGGATCTTCCGTCGCTTTTGCCTTCTCCCTACATCTTCCCTCTGTTAAAATCCCCCCCCACACACACACACACACTTATTTTCGGGCGGATAGATTTCGTGTCTGAGCATTCTCACATGACGGTGGGTCTTCCCCCCCCCTAAAAACAGTTAAAAAAAGAAAAAATATATCCTCATGCAAGAACTTTTCTGCTTCCGATTACCCCCATGCTTAAAAGTTGCAAAGGAAACACGGAAGCAGAGAAGCGGCTGCCCAGCTCCGGAGCTGCACACCATTTTTTTTCCCAGAGGGGAATCTGACTCGAGTATAAGCCGAGGGGGGTTTTTTCAGCACAAAAAATGGGCTGAAAAACTCGGCTTATACTCGAGTATATACGGTAATAGTTTGACCAGGATTAGAAGGTTTCAATTCAGGGTAGGGCCAAGATTGTTTTTGTGTTAATATCTATTTGGACACTAATATCTATGTATCTTGATTATCCTTACTGTGAGTAAAGAGTTTTTTCCTCTTTACTCAGCTGGTCTTTAGTTCATGTTTGGTGATTTTATGCATTGAGTTCAAAAGTTGTATACAATTTCCAATTAGAACGATCAGTCCGTTTCCAATGAACTGAGGCTGTCTGTAGCAGTATTGCAGATCTCTTATTTCAGACTGGCCAATTCAGATAATGAAGGAGAAAGAGCCTTCTTCCTGTAATTCAGTTGGTTGAATTCGCATGCTGTGCTTATTTTGGCAAATTGAGAATGCAGCTAATATGATTTGTAACCCATAGTTGTACTAAGAATGATACACAAATGGTTGCTTAATAACTTACTGCTTGATGTAGAGTTGGAACTCCAATAATTATCTCAAGGTGAAACTCTGAAAAAAACATCTTGTCAATCTTATTTTTAGCAACAACCCATTGCAACATGCTAGCTATTCTGATAGGGAAACTGCCAAATTGAACTGCCTTTTCCCCCTCTCTGCCTTAGCTTCTGTACTTCCTTAGTGTTCAACTTGAAGAGAAAACAGCTTCTCTTTCTATGTAGGAGCCTTTTAGTGTTGAGAGAAAAATGGGAAGAAAGCTACATTATGATTTCCCCTTCTCCCCTTGTGTGCATTGTATCACAGTACAGTCTTTCTCAAGGATAGGCAAAGCAGAAACCTACCTGCATGGAAGTATTTATCACGTAGAAGCCTAGACATATATAAAACTTCATTCTTTTTGGCAAAGTCCATTGTACCAATGCATGAGACATAATTCCATCTGTCCACTGATTCCTTGCGTAAGTCTTCTCTCAGTTTTAAAGGGGTATTCTTGATTCTGAAATGATATTTGGTGGACGATTTTGCCAACATTTATGGAATAAGCGTGACATTGATTAATCAAATGGATTATAACTTTGCGTGCTATTATTTTTGGGTGCTGAAAATATTTCTTGGAGATCTAACAGGCAAAGATTCTCCAGAAGTTATCTTGGCTTTATGTAGCGTGTCTTTGACTCTTTAGTGGTACTTTTGCTGTGCTCTGGGTCATGGCTTATAGCATTTGTTTTCCTTGCCTGTTTGATATTAAGTTGCTTATTTGTTGGCGGGGGTTTCTTTTCTTGTCAGGGAAGTCCAGCTTTACAGAACAATAGAAGCGACACTATTTGCAATCATGACTTCAACCATTATCTCAATCTTGCAGGAGGGCCCAGAGATCATTTTCCTTGCCCTGCCCTTTTTTCTTTGTGCCAAGTTCCAAACACAAAAGCTTCCCACATGACCAGCTGTAATTTGAAGATAGGAGGGGTTAAATCATTTTTTTGTTAGGGCAAAGTTCACCAATACCCAGGCTTGCAGAAATCTCTGCTAATTATCTGAGATCCTAAACTGAAACATTTGCTTGAGGGAAAAATCAAATGTTTTTCAAAAGATTTTTCAATCAATCAAAATAGAATAAATGGTGGACCAAAGTTGATAATCTTCTTGCCCACGCATTAGAAATGCATTTCCAAACTGCAGAGAAATTGAATTCATTTGAATTCCACTGAAATAAAAGCTTACTTGGGAAGAATTAAACAGTATTACACTTTTTTTAAAAGGAAGGCATATGGTAATAGGCATACTGAAGAAGATAAAGAATTTGGAACTCTAGAATTAAGGTGAAAGATGTAATGTTTGGCTGTGAGACTTGAATGTTCAGTAGATCTTTTCTCCAATGAAATTTGTAGAATGGTGACAGATAGAGAAATTGGAAAAAAGAGTCATTTTGATTTAATGAACTTTTACTGAATGCATTAAATTGGCATACATTAATAACCTAGGAATTCTGGCTTAATATACCATAAAATGAATAAACTCTTATTAGAACATATAGCAGTTGCTTCCACTTTGTCCTTAACTTCCTTTGAATGTTAAGCATGGGCTGTTGGGACTTTCTTAGTATAGCTTATTAAGTTAGGATTGTGTCTTACTATCTATATGAAAACCTTCTTATTAAGTCAGAGCATTGATCCATCCTGCTTTCTGGGATCCTTTTATCTAGAGATGCCAGATTTTGTACTTGGCAGCCTTCTGCCTGTGAAGGACTAGTTTATGAAATGAGTCACCTCATTTTCCCTTAGTATTCATAAGCTGTGAATGTGTTTGCTGCAAGGGAGAATGGAATGAATTCTTTAAACCACTGGAAAAATACTTTCCGTTTCTCCCTGTTTTGCCATTCCTGACTAGGATGGGTTTATCTTATAATTTTTAGGCAGCTGTACATTCCAGGGAGATGATTGCCCTGGCTGAGTCACAAACAACTTTTCAAATAAATCCTAGGTTTCCTTATGCATATGGCTGCATGAGAAGAAAATGGATATTTTACAATTATATAATGGTTCTACTTCTTGTGCCACACAAAAAATCCTTTTGCCAGTGAATTGACAACTAAGAAAGGCTGGTACAGTTCATTTTATTAGTTTAGACTATGTAAAAATTGAAGAAAACAACAACCAGGGGTGGAGTTGTACCCACAAGAGCCTTGGCAGCTAGAAAGAGAATAATCCAAAGATAATCACAATTGTGCTATTGAAAAAAGGAATGTTTAGAAATGAGTTCCCTCTCATGATATACATTTGTACGATCACTTTATAGACCCCCTTCAAGTTAAGAATAAAAATCCAAAAGATAACTGAGACCAGGAGCAGAAATCAGGCTCACCTGGTTCATCAAAGTTACATAATGCATTGGAAATGAACTTGTTCCTGAAGGACAAGATCTGTGGAATTTCCAGGCTAAATGTAAGGAATGGCTATCATTCCAGATAGCTAGGCCAAGGGAGTGGGAGCAGCAGTAGCAGATAACTCCGTGCCAATGGGATAGGATACATTTCATGCCACAAAGGAGATGAACATTCTTTTGAGGGATGTGGAGAGTAAGTTTTTGGAGTCAATATTCTCAGTTATGGATTTTGAAATGTTCCAGAATTTCATCTGATTCAGAAGTGGAGAATTTGTTTTTCCCTGCTCTTATTATTTTTAAAGAGTGTTGTTCTTCCAATAGTAAGATTGTGGAGCTTGCCCTATGCTGTCTTTCTTTGAATAAATAATACAAAAAATTCTAGATTAAATCTGCAACAATCAGTGTCACTTTTGGGGGCATGGGGAGGTCCTTATTTCTAGATATAGGTAGTCCTCGACTTTCAACAATTCATTTAGTGACTGTTTTAAGTTATAATGGCACTGAAAAAAGTGACTTATGACCCTTTTTCACAGCATTCCCTTGGTCACATGATCAAAATTCAGATGTTTGGCATACTGATACATATTTATAATGGTTTCAGTGTCCTGGAATCATGTGATCACCTTTTGCGACTTTTCTGACAAAGTCAGTGGGGAAGCCACATTCACTTAGCAACCTTGTTACTAACTTAACAAGTGCAATGATTCACTTAACAACTGTGGCAAGAAAAGTTGTAAAATGGGGCAAAATTCATTTAGCAATCTCCTGCTTAGCAACAGAAATTGTGGCTGTAAGGCTAACTGTTCTCTGTTCTCTTTTGCTGTCAGCAGCATTGCAGCAATTCTTAAATATTTCTGAACTGGATTGCTGCTTGCTTTTTGCTAGTAAACACTCTTCCCATTTGGTTGCATTTCATACCATTTTTATCCGATGTTCAATCACAAATGCTACCGTGTTTCTTATATAATAAGAAATATATATAATATATTTAAAATATATAATATATATAAATATATATAAAATATATATAAAATATATAATAAGAAGTGCAACTTTTAATGTTGACCAATGGGACTGTTTCTTTTGCCCCCCCTCCCCCAACTCTGCCAATCAGCAGCTTCAACAAATGAAGAGAAGTAAAATGTGGGTTTTTTTCTCTCTCTAGGTCGTAGGCAGAGTTGGGTTCTCCTGTTTGTGAAATTGATCACCTTAATGGATTGAACAGAATGGCAACAGAAAGTGGGAGTGCAGTGGATAGGGGAAGGGGAGCAAAGGTGAATCTCTGAGCTGCTTTAGGGAGCCTCCCTTTGCCCTGCAAAGATCCCCCCCCCACTTCATGAGAGGTTGCATCCAGTAAGATAAATTTTAGATCCTTCCGTCCCATTCTCTGCACTCCACATCCTCCACTTATTTACTAGTAGGCTGCCCACTCTTCATTGTTTGCCACTGATGCTTTAAGCAAAGAGTTTCTGTCCTGCATGTTGTTTTTGTAGCTGGAATTCAATAGATGCTCAGTGTAAAAGTTAAACTTCTGTTCTGAATATGGAAAGACAACTTTGATCTGACTACTGATTTAATCTGATCCCTTGATTTAGGCAGGGGTGGGTAGCCAATTAGTCAGATGTGCTTCTCGTTCTCACCCTTTTTGTTTTGTTTTCGTAATCTTTAGTAATTATATTACTGAATTTTGGCTGCAAAAAATAAGAAATGCTGTACAGGTAATCCTTGATTTACAACCACTAATTGAGATTAGAATTTGTGTTGCTAAGCAAGCCATTCATTAAATGAGTTGTACCCAATTTTACAGCCTTTTTTTTCCCACAGTTGCTAAAATATGACAGCTGTTAAATAAATCACATGGTGACTAAGTGAACTTGATTTCTCCCATTGACTTTGCTTATTGGAAGCTGATTAGAAATGTTGCAAATGACCCTGGGAATTTTGATCATGTGACTGTGGAGATGCTTTGATGATCATAAGTGCAACGACTGGTTATAAGTCACTTTTTTCAGTGTTAACTTTGAATTATTTCTAAACAAATGGTTGTAAGTCAAGGACTACCTATACAGTTTATTGACATTTTCGTCCTTGGCCTCCAGGGAGGATATTCAACTGGGTTCCTGATTTAGGATATAGTTGCATATAGGCCGTGATGGAAAATATGCATCTGGAACATTTCAGGTTACAAGTGGGGCTTATACAATTGAATGATTCTTAACAAACAAAAAACACGTGTAATGAAAATAACATATAGGAAGAAAAGTTTGGTTGAACATTGTTCTTCTGATAAGCTGTTTTGCTAACTATAGAAGTTTAGGTGATAGCTTTTTGTTTTTTGTCACATTTCTTTTAACATAATCGAATATTTGGCTAGGTTAGCCTAACTTTGATACCCTTGTAGTGAACAGAGTTAAGTGACACTAGCAAACCTTGAATTATATCAATGTAGAGTTTGCAAAAGATAAACAGTAATTCAAACTGATACATGAATGAATCAAGTCTCTCCCATTTGTTTTGTTTTCTGTAGTTTCACATTTACCTACAAACTAACTGAAAGTTTTATTTGTTCCTTAGAGCCTCGTTACATTCTGTCCCTGAGAAAGCATGTGTATTTTAGTGCAAGAAGTGAAATGGGCGTTATTTCTAAAAAGAGGCCAGTATTTAAAATGTTCCATTAAGGTGGAAAAGCAGTAAATAATATTTTGAATTTTCTCAAAACCTGGCAGGCAAAAAGGGTGGAAAATGTTTCCTACCTGGAGCCAAAAGAAGATCACCAGAGCTGTTTTTTTTAATGAATCATGGAGTTTTTCTTTCCATGTTTGATGCCTGTTTATGATTGGGCAGCCTTTCAGTATAATTCTCTTTATATTCTGGGTAGAATTAAAATTAGTGAAAATTGTAGCTTAGCAGAGAAATATTCTGACATAAAGATGAAGGAAAAGTTGGGAGGAGAATTTAAGATTCTCCTTTCCTAGAACTTTAGATGGGTATAGCAATTCTCTTGTGCAATTGAGGTGTACAAGACTTAAAACAAGACCAGAGACAGTATATCTCAATTGCACAAGGTACAACAATCCTTGAGTTACAACAGTTATTTTGGTGACTGTTCAAATGGCACTGAAAAAAGTGACTAATGACCATTTTTCACACTTATGACAATTTCAATATCCCTATGGTCACATGATCAAAATTCAGACACTTGTCAACTGACTCATATTTATGACAATTGCAGTGTCCGAGGTCATGTGATCACCTTTTGCAAAATTTAAGCAAAGTTGATGGGGAAGCCAGATTCACTTAACAATTATGTTACTAACTTAACACCTGCAATGATTCACTTAACAGCTGTGGCAAAAAAGGTCATAAAATTGGACAAAACTCATATAACAAACGTTTCATTTAGCAACATAAATTTTGGGCTCAATTGTTGTCGTAAGCTGAGAACTACCTGTATTTTGAGCTATTCCATTCTAGCACTGCTTATATTTTATAAAATATAAACTATATATTTTTTTGATTTGTCAAATGTATTTTAAAAGTAACTTATTGTTATAGTGTCTGTTTATAAACTTATAAGTTAAGGAGCAAATGTAGCTTTGATCCTGGGTTGGCTTATTGGTAACTAATGATATTACTATAATGAAAAAATGTAATACTTTTGCAAAGGTTCATGGGTGAGGTGGCTTGAAAGAACTAAAATGAAAAATGACATTTTTAATATTTGCCTCCTGGTTGATGGAGCATCTAGCTATACTATAATTTATTTGGTAAAGTCAGACTGAAACAGAACTGGAGAAATAAAAACTCATCCATTCCTGCTTCATTTCCAGAGTCACAGAGAAAGGAAAGTACAATAATTTGCATAAAATAAAAAATAGAAGTAGAAATATAATAGAAGTAGAAAGAATAGAGAACAGAACAGAATAAAATAATAAAGTAGAATGGTTTATTGGCCAAGTGTTATTGGATATGCAAGGAAGTTGTCTCCAATGTGTAAGCTCTCAATATACATGCAAACAACAAATTAATATAATAATAATGATGCTTACATAATCCACAAAGTCTGTGGTGGGTGGGTGTTTGTGTGTGTGTGTGAATGCATATTCACCGGAACCTTATCTACATGATATTGTGTTGCAGTGGTTAACCTGATATGGGGGTAGAGAGAACCAACCAATGATTATCCTGATAATGTAGTATAAGAAACTCTTTGGGGGGGTGGTACCGAAGGTTGGATTCACTTCACCAGTGAGTAGATGGCGAGTCTGAACACTATTGACTCTTTGTTTACAGAAACAATGAGTTGAGACTGAAGATGGTGACTGGACCACCTCATTCAGTTGATAGGAATTTAGACAATAAGTGCAACAGTTTGCCTATACGAGTATGTGTCTTGCATGTGTCTATTTAATCTTTTAAAAAGGAGTTGTTACTCTCCATTATAAAATAAAGTCTTTATACTTTTTCTCACTGGGAAATAACATTAAGGTCATTCAACATTTGGCAGTCCTGCAGGGATCTTTTAGGACTGTTAACATACTAGAGCATAGAGGAGTCTTCCTCAATCTGGAAACATCCAGGCATGTTGGTATTGCAACGTCCTGAATTCCTAGGCTGCAAGGCCATGCTATTAGATATTTTGGAAATTGCAATATCAGCGTATTTGGTGATTGTCTCATTGAAGAAAACTGCATTACTGAATAAGTTGTCACTGTCCTCACTGCCATTACATATGTCCTTGCTTGTAGTTCTCTATTGGCATTTCATGCAACTTTAATCTTTTGCAAATGGATCTAGCTCATAGGATATTTGGAACAGTATGTAATGTAATAAATGTAAGCATCATAGGAAGAACTTGCAGACAGGCCTCATTTAGCAATCACAATGGGTTCTAGTGAAGTGATTGCTAAATGAACCAGGTAACTGAAAGAGACAGAGACACAGAGTAAAGATTACTGATTGCTATGATCACATTCAGGTAAAGTTCTCTCTTGCAGTAACACCAGCATTATTGTAACTCCAGCATGCATTGTTGTAAGTATGCACATTATTTGCAACATATTACCATTTATTACTGTCATATTCTGAATGGTGCTAACCAATGCAATTGCTAAATGATTACTTTCTGTTTAGGAAATAAAGTGTCAGTACTACTTTGGATTCTTAAAGAAATTTCTTATATATAAGATAGTGGGCAACTAATGAGTGCTTTTCATCTGTCTTTTTCTTACAGGGTGGAATTCCAGAATAAATTCTACATGGGTACCGGGTTCAAGTTTCTCCCTTTCTCATTTGACAGTATCCGTGATGGGAAATTTGATGAATAATCATCTTGGAGACATAATACCTGGAAGTGTGGCACTAAATCCAGACCTTTACTGCATGCGTGTATAGTTTTCCATTGTGTCCATAATATTCTAGTGATAATAATTTGATTTTATTCATTTAAAGTTTTTATTGAAGGAAGAAAATCCTAAGAGGATACTCAGAGAATTTCAGGGGTGGGGGGATTGCTAGCAAAATTAAACTGTACTTTTGGCAAGTTTTAGATAAGTCTTTGGTTTTATACCACAAGTGCTGACAGAGGAACGTTTGTGATCATTGAGAAAGATGTCCTGGTGGTCTGAAGTTGTCTTGTTCCCCAAAACCATGGTGTCTAAAAGAAAAAAAAATTCATGTTTCTAGTTCTATTACTTCAGATTTGGGGAAACACCTTTATTACATACATTTGTTCTGACAACTTGATGATTAAAGGGGCTCGATTATTCATCCATCCAACACACTTTCCTTTAGACTTTCAAAAGGACATTTATATTTCCTACAGATTAAATTTGCTAAGTACAAAAGTTGTAATCGAAAAAACAGTCTTGTTTGCAAATAACCTGCTTAAATGCTAGTATCCCTATATTTTTTTTCTCAGTTAAATCATAAATCAAAGGGATGACAATGCACCAGAAAAACCCTTCACTATCATTTGACAGACATTTTAAGCACTTGCCCCTGTGCAGGACTTTTTCCATATTTTAAATGTAATTTTAATCCCTGAAAACCATATTTTTGGTAACATTTGAAGGGTAAACTAGAAACCCCCCCCCCCCCCAAAAAAAACAACCCCCCCCCCCCAAACAAAAAACCTTTGCATTTTGGTATTGTCAGAAATTTCTTTTCCTAGATGAAAAGAGCAGGCCGAGGAGCAGCTTACTTGCTTACCCTGTTATAGCTGGACTCTGTTTTGCTTTACATGATTAATTAATAAAACATTTAATAACACTGGCTAAAGCTCTGAACTGCTTGCTTTGTTCAAAGAAAACTCAGAATCTTTCACCTCCATTCTCACATGACCTTGACATCTATTACTGCTGTAAGGAAAAACTTGGCTATTCTTGACACATCTAGAGCTGAACAATTCAAGGGAGTGTGGTAACTTTACAGGAGCAGTAGTAGCAATATATATGTTTTTAGGACAGATTCACCTTGAAAATAGGAATTGCTTGAGGGTAACACCTGCCTTCTGTTTGTGTGTGTTTAGATACAGGAATGAATATAGCATTGTATGGCTCTGTAAGATGTAAATTTATGCTGTGGGTGTCGTGTTGTGTTGTGTTAAATAAATGTGCACTTTTTTGAAAATCTTTCACGTGCAGGCTTCAGGGCACTTCATTGGCACTTAAAGAATGATCTTTGATTTGACGTGTTAACCTTACAAGAGGGTGTAAAATCAACACTTTTTATTGGAAACTGAAATTATAGCTGTTGCTATTGTGTAAAATGCAAAAAAAACCCGTTTTGACAACTATAATATGCAGTAAAGTTTTCCGTATTTTCCTCATCAGCTAATTGTTGTTATCTATTAAAACAGTTGAAGTCACCTGTAATGTCTTGTGTTTTTTTAATTTGGGGGATGGGATGGATGAGGGAGATTAAAAGAGAAGAGAGTGAACACAAATGTAGGAAGATAGAAAAAAATAAAATAAAACAGGTAATTCCAAAAGCTAAATTCTGGAATCAGTTACTAGGTAAAATTCTTTTTTTATTGTTGTTGCTGTTTTAATCTTTGGGATTTATTCAGTTTTGGTGTTTGGTGTTTCACTATGATGATTCCCCTTCAATTATGCTGAAGTCCAATCCCATCCACTACAATCAGAGTAGTAGTTTAATTCTGCTATCCCTTTGCTTATAAAACTTCAACCCACAACTTTCCACCCACAAAAATGAAAAAGTTTTCTTTAAACAAACTAACTCTTGGGAAATTTATTTATTTGATATATATTCCCCCCCCCCCTTTTTTTTTCATGAGCTCAGGGCAGCACACATAGTGCTTCCTCCTTTTATTTTCCTCTGCAAAACAAACCTGCATAGTAGGAAGGGCTAAAATAATTAGTAGTCATCCAGTGAGATTTCATGGCCAAGAGTGGAATTTAAACCTAGGCGTCTTCAGCGCCATTTCAGCATCAAAGCCATTACACCATGTCAGTTCTATATTTCAGAATTCTGAAATACTCCAGAATGAAGCTCCCTCATGTTCCCATCTCTTTTATTAATACCAGATTCTTCATTTTCATTGAATTATTAGATCCATACATTTGACTCTGCTGCCTTTTGTGACCCGTGCTAGTCTATGGGCTCTGTCTTTAATCTTCCAGGATAAATTCCAACATGATAAAAATTTTGCTGGGATTGAACCTCACCAAAAGTAAATGCCTAAACAAATTTATGGATTTTAATTCCCAAAATTCTCAGCAATGACAATTCTGAATAGGGAATTGTAGGAATTGATGTCCATATTGGAGAGTACCACACTTTGGAGAGATTTGAGGAAGGCTTGTATAATAGCAGTGACTGCAACTTTATATCTCTAGTCCTTAATAAAGCATTTCCTTCTATTTTTGCTTAGCTGTAGGAGGATCAATCTGACCATTTTCAACTCAAAGGTATGTGCACAATTTCCCAAAAGAAGCTGTGCTTTAATGTCTTAAATCAAAAAAGAAACGAACAACAAATATTGCTGTTAAAGTATAAAATGGAGTCAAAAAGCCAGCCTATCCAATGGAAACTAAACATCCTACAGAAGTGGTAGATTATATGTCTAGATAGCAGTTGCTTAGGGACGGATGTCGATGACATTGTCCATGTATCTTATGAAGTCTTGTTCGCAGGAATGTGTTCATTTTAATAAAATGCTTTAAGGCCGTCTGTGTCAACATTTTTCAACTTGGCAACTTTGAGATGTGAGGACTTCAACTCCCAGAATTACCCAGTTAGGCTGAAAATTGAAGTGATCTATGTTAATATCACATTAAATCAGTTGTTTGCAAACTGGAGCAATCTATATGGGAATCAGTAAATCAGTTGAGAAGGATAGAGTTCTAAGGCATGCAGAGTGTCTCCTTTTTCTATTAATACAGCTTGGCTGCTCTCAGTGTGTGCTTCAAAAGATCTCCATTGATCAGATTTGTCTGGCATAATTTGAATATTCTGGTGTTTCAAAATGGTTGGCAAGATATTCGTACATGGTTTAGAGGGAACAGTGGGTATTTACTTGTACATGGTTTAGAGAGGACAGAGTGAATTTTGCAACCAGTCAGAAGCCTATGTTTTAAAAAAAAGGATGAGACAGCAAACATTTCAATATATATGCTTGTTCTGTTGCGACATGTTCTGTTGCAAGAGAGTGCCAGGAACCAGTTCTTGAAATCACATGAGCTTTAAACCTTGTTTTCTCTGTCATAACCTAAATTGCTTCATTCTTAGTTCACAATTATCCATCTCAAGGATATTTTAGTTCTCCAGAGAAATAAAAAGATATGACTCTTGCTATTAATAGATCAATTGCAGCTTCTGGAAGTATTTGTTGGTAGGCTATGATTGGAATGGATGCTCTTATGCTTCATTCTGTTCCTGTGGAGAAAAACAATCCCGGTTTAGGATTTGCTTATCAAACGCTCTTTGAATCTATTACTCATTACCCATTACCTAGGCTGCAGGAAAAAGGGCCAGTGGGACACAGTTTGTAGGCCATAAGCTGGTTCTTGGGAAAGATGAGATCATTTGGTAAATAGGCTTGTCACTGTCAGGCTCCGGAGTCCAACTGGGCTTGCTGCCCAATCTGGAGCTCGACACATCAGAGGGACCAGCCAGGGTGTCAGATGGAGCACTGCTGCAATTATGGATAATGGCATTACCAGTGTCCCGGATAGTCGCTCTCGTCGATCCTACCAGCCTCCTAGATGGCCACTGCCGATCTCGTGGGCAACTTACCAGCCTCCCAGACGACCATGCAGATTGCGAAGATCGGAACAAACCTGAAAGGGGGAGTGACTGGATAGCTGGGCTAGAAAAGGACCCACTGAGAACACCACACACATTGGGGGAACGGATGGGTGGGAATGGAACAAGAAGTGGGGGTGGATGAATACAGGGGAAACACAAGCATAGGGCTAGGCAACAAGAAATAGGCATGGGATGTAGGTGCAGGGTGTTAGATACTATGGCAGATGTTAGGCAGGCGGGAACAGCTGGGAGGGGCTGGATTAACAAGGGTATATTAAATGCTCAGAGGCTCTCAGAGCTAACTTTGATCGGGTTTGATCTGTTCTTGTCACTCAGGATGAAATACTGGAATAAACCAAGTAACTATGAAACCTGTAAATGACTTTTAATTTGCGAGTGATCCTCTAGTAGAGGCTGAGAGTCACGCTTAACTATAGTCGATTTACAACATTTATTTAGTGATCATTTAAAGTTACAACGTCACTGGGAAAAAAAAGATTTATAATCATTTTTCACACTTAGGACCATTACAGCATCCCCATATTCACTTGATCAAAATTCAGATGCTTGACAATTGAGTCATATTTATGATAGTTGCAATGTCCTGGAATCATAGGATTTTCTGACAAAGTTATTAGGGAAGCCAGATTCACTTAACAACTATGTTACTAACTTAACACCTGCAGCGATTCACTTAACAACTATGGCAAGAAAAATAGCATAATGGGCAAAGCTCACTTAACTAATGTCTCACTTAGCAACAGAAATTTTGAATATAATTGTGGTTGTAAGTCGAGGACAATCTGTAGTGGAATATTAGTCTGTGCAAAGTAATTTATACATTGAAATCAGAATTTTGGGCAAGTGCTCCAATTTGAAATAATCCTGCCCCAGACCTGATAGGTAGGGTCTATGATGACTTGACACTGCTAGTTCAGCCAGCAAGGGGCAGCTTCACTACCGCCAACCCTCCTCTGCCAACTCAGTACCGCCATTTCTTTGCAGGACATCTTGACACCAGAAAATTGCTGCAAGGAAAACTCATTGTGGGTGCTGGATGGAGAGCCAGATTAATGAATGGGCTTTCAGAAGGTGGTGACAATAGGTTGGGTCTGCCCCAAACGCTGAATCGGCAGTTCGGCTGCAGCGAGGGATGGGGCGGATGGCGGACAGGCAGCGATAGGCTTGGGCTTCCTATTTTGACACCCCCAGCCATTGCTTCTGAACCTTGAACTGGCTACACTACAAGTTTTTTTTTTTTTAAAGTCCTGGCTCTGCCAATCCCCCCCCCCCCCCCCCGAATATGCTGAGTAGACAAACCTTGCATCCCAAGGCTGGCCAGTCCAACTTAGCAGCATCAAATCCTCCCATTCCATGAAAGATAAATAAATACATTTGTTTTAACCTTTAATATAGTTGATATACTGATTCATTTATTTGTAATGACCAAAAATGGATTGTAACAAATCTTGACTTTGCACGTGCTCTCTCTCTCTCTTTTTCATATATCTTTCTGTCATAATAAATGTGTTTTTTTAAAATACAAAAAGATGTTCTGTATTTGCTGCTACATATTAATCCAATTATTTTTTCCTTCCCAGAATTAATCCTATTTAAAGGTAAGCTGTAATATTTCTATTGAACACTAGAACTTTTTTTTAAAGCTTAGGAAAGAGAGGCTGTGAAGAGGATGTGCGCTTAAATCTCTTTCGAAAATGGTTTCAGAAATAACATTTTCTCTTTCAATACATGAGACAAGACTGTAAAATGGGAATGGGTAGTCAGGGATTCAGTGTATCATGCCACAGTCTTGGTATGCTGATGTAGCAGACTTCTAGGTTAAGCCATAATATGTTATATTTGGCTGTAATGTTTAAATAAATACAACAGTTGGTTGTGTAACCTGAATTAACTATGTTGAATGAACCCAACAAATGGGTTGTATATAATAAGCTCAACTCCCTTTGATTTCATTGGAGGCTTTATATCAGGATCTAGGCCAATATTATTTATTGTCTGTTCTGTTGCTCTCTGTTGAGCCTTGGGCTTTATTTTTAACTATCTTCCCCCATGCCTTATTTTTCAGGTTTCTCCCTTTACAGGATTGTTGACATAATATGATGAATTCTGCTTGGAGTCTGTCTCATATAATTTTTTTACTTCTCTGGAACAAATTTTTCTCTATTTTTATACCTATTGTTGCCAATCTTACATTGCAAATACTTGGGACAGTGGCTTCTGTGCTTTACAAAAGTTTCTAACAAAAGAAACAATTTGGTAATTATAAGACAAGTTTGCAGTTAATGCATGTTATAATATAAATCAAGAGCACCTCTGAATTATCAAGTGAGTCATTACTATTTCTAAAGAGAAGCAGAAACAGCAGCTTTCAGAAAGGCTAGACATCCAATACCTTAAAAAAAAAAAAGAAATTTACCACTGGGGTGAGTGGGTGTAAACCTGTGGGTGATTGTTGACACATTCTGAGGGAAGTGGGAGGGCAGGAACAACTGACAAGGTACTTGAAATTATTGGGAAGCTGAACTGAACTGACTACTACTGCCTGCTTGTGTCTGCTGATTTCAGTGAATAATTTCA